ATTTCTCCTATTCTGGCTGTGTTGCATTGTCTGCCCATTCGGTTCCGCGTTGACTTCAAAGTTCTGATGCTTACATATAAAGCCCTAAACGGTTTAGGGCCTCGATACTTGGCAGAACGCCTACTCCCACCAAGTTCTACCCGTGTCACTCATGCGAGCCAGGAGGTGAGGCTGAGGAGCCTGACGCCGAGGGAGGCCCGGAAGGAAAAGACAAGAAACCGGGCCTTCTCGGCGGTGGCTCCTTGCCTCTGGAACAACTTGCCTCCTGAGATTCGCGTGGCTCCCTCGCTGGGCGTCTTTAAGAAACAACTGAAAATGTGGATGTTTCGGCAGGCCTTCCCTTCAGCTAACCCTATCTAATCCCTTCCAGTCAATCCCTGATGTTTTCCTTTTCTCTCTTTACTCTGAGTCACTTTGTTTTCCATCTTATTGCAGCTGTTTATTTATAATAATTCATGTATTTATATATTTTATGTTGTACGCCGCCTAGAGTGATCGTAACTGACTAGATAGGTGGGATATAAATTCAATAAATAAATAAATAAATAAATAAATAAATGACTCTCCCTCTCCAGGTCCTTCTTCAGGAGTGACAAGCAAGTGGGTGCAGCACATTTGAAACTGGACAAACTGGAATCTCAGTGTGAAATTAGAGAAATAATTGAGGTACAGTGTCTGTTTTGTTTGCGATATAATCTGTAGTAAAGATTTCCCCCATTTTTTTGTACACTTGTCTGTTCTGAAAGTGTTTTTCACAACAGTATATGCTGCAGTGATTCTACCAGTGCCATTATTGACATGCCAACTTTATTTTCTTTTTCTGGTAACTTATGTGCCTGCTATATCCTGAAATATGTATGTAATGGGATGAGTAGGTTATTCAAATTTTGTCCTTGTAGGTATAGGTTCTGCTGTTTGTTTATTCAGTGTAGATGTGTTTCTCAGGGGCATTTGGGTTGTTTAAAAATTACTATTTACCTCCTTTCTATTTCCATTGTTCAACATGAGTGTGGTACTTATATAGATAAGTGGAAGCCCTGCATGAGACAAGGAAACCTAAAAGTGTGCTACAATAGATAAATCTGATGAAGAACATTTATAAGAAGAGAAGCCTAATCACTGAGTGTGACTAGAGGCTAAGCAATGTTAATTTAACTTTTGGAGAGAAAATGATGTGAGAAATGAAAATGAGTATCATAGAGAAGGACATCCTTGCTGACTGGAACACTAAACAAAGATATTCAGCTTGTAATAGTACGCCTACTTATTTTAGTTATTTACAAGATTTTTTAGCCACGCCATTACCAATGGTCTCCGAGCGCCGGTCTGCTACTGAAGAAAAGTGTAAAATCCTACTGCATCTTCAGTGATAATATCTTATCTACTTATGTTTAGGTTTTGGATAGCAGGAAGCCAACTGGGGGGAAACTAGAAGTAAAAGTGAGACTCAGGGAGCCAATTAGTGGGCAAGATCTTCAAACAGTTACAGAAAACTGGCTGGTCCTTGAGCACTAGTTTCTCCTATGGTAAGAGTACCTCTTTTCTATATATTCTGTGTAGGAGAGAGAGCTATTTCCTTTTTTTGCTAATTATCAAACAGGTTTGTTATAAAGCATTTGTATTTTGCTTATTTCACTACAAATTTTTAAACTGGCTAACAAGACTATAAGCAATCTCCTCTCTCACAAATTATCAACCTACAGAAGAGGATCACCATAATCATATCTCCACTATGGGAAGAAATCCTTTTTGAGTGTTACTGGCCTCTTTCCTTTTACACACAGAACATGCCTCTTATAAGTCACTTTTTGAAATTGTACTACTTCTACTATTTTTATTTAAAGACTGGCTGTAAATTGTTACGTTTGAGAGCACATTACAGAAATTGCACTTTTACAATGTATACAGACTTTCACTGTTTATTATCTACTATTGCTGTGCTATCCTCAATTCTTCCTCTAAACCTACATTCTATTTTGCCTCCCTTCACTACAGATCCAGTAATGCTAGAAGCTGCAGAGTGGACTTTGTACACATAGAGCTTCTGCTAGCACCAAAGATGTTCAATGAATGCACTACTGAACATAACATCTTTATTTTCATAACTATCATATAGTATGAGTTGGTAAGCTTTGTAAGTCTACTACTAGGAATGAAGGTACTGATTCACAGAGATAGGTCAACCTATCTTAAGCCTTGTTGAGACTAATAGTGTTGGTACTACATGAATGTTACCTGTTAACTAACTGCTGGTGTGCAAAGAAATGGCATGTTTGCAGGAGTTGGCAATTTTTTGTTTTAATTGATAGCAGTTTACTAAGATGTACTGCAACAGTGGATGTTGATCATGTGACTTGAAAATAAGATTGTGTGTTTCCCAGCTAAGGAATAAACCCTGTTCTTTCATTCAGAGGATTTCAGTTACACACCTATTATGGTTAATAGCATGCATATCTTCTCACACTTCTTGCAACAAAGGATTTTATAAGGTACTGTTACATCTCTCTCTTCTGTAGGAGTACACTCACCCCTTACTGCCATTCTCAACCCTTTTTTTTTTTGGCCATGGCGATAACCACAATATGAAAGAAATACAGACCGAATCATATGGCCCCCGTTGAGAATGGCTGCTCTACAATAATAACTAGCATGGACCTTTTGAGGCCTGTATTATTCCCGATAAAATCACTTCTTTAATTGGCTTTTGTCTTTGTGCTTTTTAAAACTGAGGCAGACCTAAGGTTTTACTGCTCAAAGATTTCCAGAATCATAACATCTAGGATTTTATTTGGACAAGTTGGAATACTTAACAAATTGCCGGGGGGGGGGAGGAATAACATGAGGCTCTTACCTGTTTTCTATAATTGTTTGTCTTTTCTCCAATTTCATGGTCTTATCTACATTGGAGAGTTGCAAGAGATTTCCACAGTACTTGTGTAACTTCATAGAGCTAAGTCTGCCATGCAGGCAGCATTTGTTTCTGCCTTAATTGGATGGAGACAATAAAGTATTCGGTTTTTAATTTTAATAAATTTAATATACAAAACTACATGTTGAAAATAAAAATATAATATGCAGTCTTTTGTAGTGTTAACTGAATTTTAAAAGTACATTTTTCTTGAAACAAGTACTCATTTCTTAACAATATGGTAATCTTAAGGTCATTTTAAAGGCTATGGTTGAAGCAAACCAGTCACTCAATAGCATTTTGCACAAACATAACCCAAACCAATGATTTTCTGCAGGGTAAGGTGGAATAAAAATTCAGTCAGCTTCCCCTCCCCCCATCAGTAACTTTAATGCAATATAGTAATTGAAAACATTTATTCAGAGATGAAACTGGGATGCTTTCTCTTGTAGTACAATTCTGCCGCAGCTAAATAGCAGGTTCAAACAGATGGGAGCAGTCCTGCCAGTAAAACTGTATGATGTCATGGAAGGCAGTCTGAAAAGCAACTTGAGTTTATATGCAAGAAAAAGAAAGAACAGGAAATGCAAACCCTTTTAAACATCTCAGAAAGGTCCTTTTTGTACGGAAGATTTCACAGGTGCTTATTCGTGCCTGGCCCATCTCTTGTGGCAGAATATTGAGCACCTTTTGCAGGCTCAGCATGGCCTAAGAGCTGCTTCCAGAATACTTTACTTTTTTTAACTTTTATTGGATTTGTACCCCGCCCCCCCCTAGACAAAGTCTACTCGGGGCAGCAGAGTACCGATAGGTAGCTGGTCATTGATTCATTTCCCATTTTTTAAATGAGGCTACGTTTGCTTGGGCTTGAAGTTGGGACTGGTATCTAACATCCTTGTTTCCCCCAGGCTTCAGTTGGAGGTTTCCCATATATGTTGTTAGGAGAGTCTTTCCTAATCTCAGGCAAGCAGTTAACAACTGGCTCAAAAATGAAACCGATATAGTGCCAACTATATAGTTTCCTACCTGTAGATAAAAGTTCATTATCATAGCTTGCATTGCTTTTTTAATGCAATTTAACATATCCACCACAACTGCCTACTCTTTCCTTTAAAAGCCTACATGCCCCCACTTAGGCCTGTGTTTTAAAAAAGTCCTAGCACATAGGTGGCAGCCTCTATAAAAAGCAGCAGTTGTGTCTGCTGAAAGGCTACATTTGCCTTCTTGCTCTTTGGACAGTTTTTCCCCACTGGTTATTGGTTTCTCAGGGGTGGACAATAGCTTTACTAGGAATGTGTTCACAGTCTTTTGCTTGCTCTCGTTGCCAGCTTCATATGCTGTAGCAAGAAGATTCACTCTGCCATCCTGCCAAAGGGTGTCTTTTGGTGAGGCAGAGCACAAGCTTTCCAGCCTCGAGTGAAAGCGAAACATGCAATTGCAGCCAAATTGTTAATAGTTCTCAGAGTCTAGCTTAAAGTGGTGCTGCTACTATAAAGTGTTACATAAGTGCAGGCCTAATGGGTAGGGATAATGTAAGTAGAGTGCACACTGATCAGGAAAGAAGATTCCTTTTTTAACAAAAAGCAGGACCAGCTCAACACAGAACAGCTATTCCATGTAACTGCTCTTTAAGGCTAACAAGTCTCATGCCTGTGACAATTTCCCACCCACTCAAAATTCAAAGAGGGAAACAAAATTTAGAATGGCAGATATTTGCCAAGTTATCAGTCTGAAGGGGACAATTTCACATATACTGTAAAGAAATTTCAGATACAACTATCCTATTTATACACAGAGAATTGCAAGCTTCATTTACATACAGTCTTTAGAGAGAGTGCTGCTTTGTTCAGGGCAGATGTAAAATGTACCCTCCGTCATGCTGCTTTCTTTTTGTACATCTTTGTAGAATATCCTGCCATGTCTTGGAGGTACTTTGACCAATAATCCGGTCAGAATAATGTAAACGATACTTTCTACATGTCTAGAGAAATTAACCATAAATGGCAGTATAATGAGGTCAGAATAGAGGTCTTGATTGTTTCTTCAGAATAAGTTCATCTAAACACACTAAACATCGACACTGTTTTCTTTTATTTACTCCTCAGTGATTTCTGCACCCGTTTGAGCACTGAATACATGACTGCACTTGTCTTAAAACATGACCATTGTTTCTAATCTGTAACAGAAGTATATTAGCTGCAAAGATAGCATAGCCATTTTGTAGTATAGAAGCTGCCCTGATCCGGTTTGTTGACAAATGCATAGACAATTCAGAATTATGGAATAACTGTTTTCAACCCCTTCCCACCCCTCATAATAGTGTTAACAAAAAGCTTAATTTTCCAGTTTTAAAGTGCAAATGATTCAGATACAACTGCTGCTGGAACAGGTCTGAACAGAAAATGAAGTCCTCTTATGAGATGTTTTCCAGAATATAAAAGATAAGCTCCATTATCACTGGGCCCTCACTCAGCTGGCATGCCCCTCCATGAATTACTGGAACTAAGGCACTGTCCAGGTCATTCATGTACTGAGTAGGCAGGGGCTGGCCATTGCTCCCAGCTTGGTAGCCAACCTATAAAAAAAGGACAAAAAATGGCAACAGTTTGTTTTACTTTGTTTTGAAACATGACACAGAAGAGTTTGTACCTAAATTCCTTTATGGGGAAAACTGAATTGAGGAAATGGACATAATCATACATTCTTGGTGGCCCTTCAAAAGGAAAGGAAGCATAATTTAGAATATTCATAGGGTTTTGCCACATAATATTTACGTATTTTTAAGCAGCCTTTTTTGCAACACAATAGACAAAACGAGCACGTAAAACAAGTTGGTAACAAATGTGGGAGTTGGAAGGAGCTCATTTATAGTTTACGTATTTCCACATTGAGGAAGCAGCAATTGCCTGGGAAACAAGGCCCATTAAAGAAATATGGATACTAAGCTGCTGTAGATGAAATTCTGTTGTTAGACGTTAGCTGACCATCTCAACAAATTTTAGCAAATACTTGTTCCTGGGCATGCTTAGTCACAATGTTGAGACCCAATCAAGACTTTGTTTAGAATACATTGATTGGATGTATATGGAATCTTATTCACATATGCAGTCTTGTAAGGGTGTTCCTCATCTTCCAGGATGCTCTCCTTCACATGATTGGAAAAATTAACTGTATGACTAACTGTGAAGGACAGCAAACCAGAGCAGGAAAAAAATATGTGGTTGCACTCGTGTCCATCACCAAAGGCTGCTGAGAAAACTCCACAGTCAGGGAAGAAGACAGCAGGTCCTCTTATGGACTGAGAACTGGAAACAGAGTAGGTGTCAATGAGCAATTTTCACAATGGAGAGAGGTGAAAAGCGGTGGTACCCGAGGCATCTGTCCTGGGACTGGTGCTTTCAAGTTTGCAGATGACACAAAACTTTTCCGGGTGGTGAAGACCAGAAGGGATTGTGAAGAGTTCCAGAAGGATCTCTCCAAACTGGGAGAATGGGCAGCAAAATGACAAATGTATTTCAATATAAGAAAATGTAAGATAATGCACATTGGGGCAAAAAATCAAAACTTTATCAGCTGATGGGTTCTGAGCTGTCCGTGATGGATCAGGAAAGAGATCTTGGTGTGCTGGTGGACAGCCCGATGAAAGTGTCAAGTCAGTGTGCGGCGGCAGTGAAGAAGGCCAGTTCCATGCTAGGTACAGTCGTGCCTCGCTTTACGACTGCCCTGTATAACGACGAATCTGCTTAATGATGCCTTCCTGCAATCGCAAAAGCGACTGCAAAACAATGCTTCCTATGGGCAAAATCCGCTGTGCGATGATCGGTTCCCTGCTTCGGGAACCGATTTTTCACATTAAGACAATCACTGAACAACTGATCATCAGGTTCCAAAATGGCCACCGGCTGAAGAAAATGACCCCCTGCTGTTTTCTAGGATGGATTCCTCGCTAGACAGGCACCGAAAATGGCCGCTGGACGGAAGATCTTCGCTGGACGGTTCTAGCCCATTGGAACGCATTAACCGGGTTTTAATGCGTTTCAATTGGTTTTTTATTTTCGCTTTACGATGTTTTCACTCTACAGCGATTTCGCTGGAACGAATTAACATCGTTAAGCAAGGCACCACTGTATCATTAAAAAGGGGACTGAAATCAGCCAACATTAAAATGCCATTGTACAAAACAATGGTAAGGCCGCACCTGAAGTATTATGTACAATTTTGGTTGCTGCACCTCAAAAATTACATAATGAAACTAGAAAATGTGCTGAAGAGAGCAATTAAAATGATTACTGGGTTAAGGCACCTGCCTTATGAGGAAAGGCTACAGCATTTTGCGCTCTTTAGAGCAGGCGTCTCCAGACATCTTGGTATGAAGGCCACATCATGTTTTACATATTTTTGCGGCCCTAATGAGGGAAAGAACCCAAGTGATCCCCCACCCCCGCTGTTTCTGCAAAGACAGCAGGGGTGGGGGATTGCTTGGGTCCCCCCTCCCTCCTCTTCCTATGCCTGGGCCGGATAAAAAGGCAAGGCTGGCTGGATGTGGCACACAGGCCATAGTTTGGAGACCCCCTGGACTAGAGAAAAGGCAGCTAAGGGGGGGGGACATGAGTGAGACATCTAAAATTATGCAGGGGATGGATAAAGTGGATAGAGGGAAGCTCTTTTCCCTCTCATGCAATATCAGAACCAGAGGACATCCCCTCAAATTGAGTGATGGGAGAATGAGAACAGACAAAAGAAAATATTTCTTTACCCAGCATGTAGTTAGTCTGTGGAACTCCTTACCACAGAATGTGGTGATGGCATCTAGCCTAGATGCTTTTAAAAGGGGATTGGACAGATTTCTGGAGGAAAAATCCATCACAAGTTACAAGGTATGATGGGGATGTATAATCTCCAAGCTTAAAAGGAAGGTACCTCAAAATGCCAGATGCAGGGGAGGGGTATCACGAGACAGGTATCTAGTTGTCTCATGTGCTCCCAGAGGTATCTGGTGGGGCCACCGTGAGCTACAGGAAGTTGGACTAGATGGACCCTCCGCCTGATCCACCAGGGCTCTTATTATGTTGTTATGTGTGTACATAAAATCTGAATTAGATTAGGTTATGGCAGCAAATATCCACAAAAACATATTTTTACTTATCTGGCTGTGGATTATGTTGCTCTTTTTTTAGAAGACATTCAAAGCTCCTAGAAATTATAGACTGCCTTTGTTACATGTAAGTGATAAAGATCTGCTTTAGACCATACAAAAGCTGGCTGGATAGCTCAATGTTTTAGGTATTTGGTTGCAGAACCAGCTACCCCACTGTGCTTCCAGGGAGAACAGCCAGCCTGTGTGTAGCCTTGGGCAAGCTGCACAGTCCCAGGATGCCACCAGAAAAATGGGAATGATAAACCACTTCAGAGTACTCTATACCTTGAAACCCGTGTAAAGGGGTAACTATAAGTCAGAATTGACTTGACAACACACAGTTTTTACAATTATTAGACCACACATCCCACATTGCTCATCCCAGTAGGTCAGCAGGTTTGGGAACTTTTAGTACTTATCTGAATTTAAATTTTAATAAGTGCACAATCTGGATTTAAAAGTTAGCAATCATTCTAAATCCTTTAAAATTCTGTTGGTGCCAGAAGCCCGAGTGACATTAAGTCTGAAATACTGTATAGATGGAAAAACAATTTGCAATAAGTAGTTATAGGTAGAAATGGGGGTATTCGTATGTGAATACCCCCCCCGTACAGGTGGACATAACAAGGCCGGACTGTCCACTCACCCTTCCGCTGCTGCCATGGGCTCCACACCCCCTTCCCATTGCTCTGGAGCTTGCAGTTGACTAGCCACTCCTGGCAGGAGGCAGGATGATGACTCTCCCTGCCAGATCAAAAAGTGGCTAGTCAACTGTGAGCTCTGGAGCAATAGGAAGGAAGCGTGGAGCCCGGAGCAACAGTGGAAGGATGAGTGGACAGTCGTTATGTTCACCTGTGTGAGGGTATTCATACATGAATACGAATACCCCATCTCTAGTTAGAAGCTGAAAATTGTACCTGTAGACTTCACTGTCCAGATGTTAGTCAGAGCTTCCCTTGTTAAGCACAAATATCTACAGAAGAGTCTGTAAACATATTCAACTAGCTGTACTGGCAGAGCGAATGTGATTGGAAGCTGTGATAAAGCAAGGCTTCTTGACATAGGAGGTCTATATGCACATTCAGCTACAAGTGCTTGCAGTCTCTTCTGCAGATCTTTATCTGCAAGAAGTGAAGGTCTGACTCATTTAGCCCTAATGCCTGGGTACGGCTCTAAGCAGTACTTAAACATAATGGCAATTATAAAGAAGGAAGCGGGCAGGGAAGTGGCTCAAGCCACACACACAAAATCTCTGAAAGGCTGCTCAGGAGACACACAGAGGTGATACATAGAATCCTGTGCACTTTTCACTACTGCAGAACTTTTTTTTTAATCCCAATGCCTTATATGAAAATAAAGAATGATTCAACCCACAGAATCAGCATTCTGGATCCAAAGCTATGTTAGCTTCAATCACCAGAAACAAAGGTTAGGTCAAAAGGAAGAGAATAAGCCATCCATGCTACTTTCATCTTCTCTAAGTGTTGACACAGAAGTACTAATAGTTTTCTCCAACAAGTTTATTTTAAAAAGACTTACTTGATCAGCATCAAGTGTAACACGCAGACCCAATTTAGTCATCCCATCTTCCTTTAACAGCTTCAAGTGAGGACACAAGGCCAGGCAGAAGGCCTTAGCCACATTTTCAGTCAGTCTGCTGTGATCTGCCGGATCACTTAGGCCACTATGCTGATCATCATTTTCCAGGAAGAAAACCTGAGGAAGAAGAAAACATTTGTTCTGAACTTAGCCCTAATAAATACAGACGCCCATACACTTCTGTGCACAACTAGAGATGGACCCCCGCACAGGTGGAGATAATGAGGGTCCGCCCCATGGTGCTGGATAGTCCACTCACTGATTGGCTGCTGCCGCAGGCTCTGTGCTAGCATCCTATCACTCCATTGCTCGCGATCAGCTAGCCACTCCTGGCAGGAGGTGGGATGACAAGCTTCTCTGCCAGGTCGAAGAGTGGCTCGCCGATCATGACTATTCTAATTATTTCATTCCAAATATTTAGCAAATCATGTTCTAACACAAGACATTCCTCACCATCAGAACAAAGACCCAAATCCTGTTGTGTAGTTAGTTACACTGGCCAAAAGGAAATGGCATAACTTTCAAGGGCAAATGGCCACTAATGAACAAGCCCTTGTTTGAATTCCTGGTTGTGCACTAAGCCACCTGATTGTTAGACAATCAGGAATCAAAGTGGGGAGTAACTGATTAGTGGCAATTTGCCAGTGTGAATCCTGCCATTTCCTTTTTGCTGACATAACAAAGCAATGCAATAAGATTTTAGTCAAAGCTTTTTTAAAAATCTTACTGTCTGCCTGTGCTCTGAATACCAAGAAAGGCAGAGAAAAATGAGCCAGAATAATTAGTGCAAGACGATGATCAATAGTTATGTCAGGATAAATAGAGATGTTTTTATTTGATTTCTTGGTGGACGTCAATGCCACCCTTTCTGATTTCAAACTTTAGTAGCTAAAGAAGGTCTTTATTCTGATCAATAAAAATAGAGGAATAAGTCAAAATTCCTATTTTAACATACAAAATAATTTTGTTTCCTCACCTCTGTCCACCTGATGACCTTTCCATTTGCTTTATACTCTGAGCCATGGAATATCTTCACACTTGTAATAGATTCCATAGATTTCCCATCAATAGGGCTTACAACACTAAAAAGGGGGAGGAATAAGGAATTGTTAGGCAGAATAAAATCTGATGCAAATTTGGTTAGCTAGGAATATATACTTTAAAAAATGCATATGCCTTTTTGAGATACACCCTATTCGGGTGTTAAACTTGAAAATATGGGGTGGGTGGGTTTGTAAATGTGATTTTTCCATAGGTTACCCATTGGTAATAAAGCAGACCTCTGGGCGTTCATTGCAAAGGTCTGCAGTGGTGTGTGTAGGGATATTTAGCTGAATATGCTTACAAGTGCCTCTGCAAATTTTTGGCATGAACACCCAAAGATCTGCCTTACTTCCAGAAGGGGCAAGAGGGGTGGTAGAGCTTATTTGTGCATCTCCATACCTCACCAGAATTACAGTCCTCCATGGTTTCAAGCAACATGCCTGAATTCACTACTGCAGTTTTGGGACAAATCAAATTTCACAAGCTTTAAAATAGGGATGAACATTTGGATCTGGAAATATTTAGAATTCACCCAACAATGTCATGTTCGATAGTTCTCAATAAATCCAAATTTGAATTTGATATTTCCAAATATATAGAATAACAAGCCCTAACATTCAGAGACCCATTTACTCTTACATATTAGAAAGCAAATTACTAATTTTCTGGTTACTAGAGGAAGCAGTGAATTTGAAACCTATGTCTTGGGCATCCTGGAGTGATTTTTTTTGTGAAATGAAACTTAAAGACACTCTGGCACCAAGACTAGTGGGAGGCAGAGAATTCAAGTGTTTCTTGATTGGGCTGCCAAAGGTTTCCCAAGGGAGAGGGACTGGAGTGAAAGCAAAACCTATAAATTATGTCTGTCTGCATCAACAGAATCTAGAAGTGGCCCCAGACATCAGAAGGTATTTTTTTACATTGGTTCTTTCCAGCTGAAAGGTGGATATAGCTGCTTATAAATCCCCTGAACATTTACTGTTAGGATATGCTGTGGTGCAAACCTGCACTGCAGCAGTTTTCTCCATGTCCTTTTCTAAACCCCCCACTTTACATTCTTTACATCTTACTGTATATTGCTTACTTAGTATAATTAGGAATAAGGTTTAGGAATAGTAGATTCATAGATTAATATGTTATAAATCAACAGGGAAATACTATATTAGGTTTAGACCTCTTAGGGGCATATTAGGCATGTGGATAAGATTTTGTTATAGACAGATATATTACGTTTATATCATCCAATGTTCAGACTGGGCAGCAGCAGTGGTAGGGCTGGAAACAAGTCTGTTTGGGGAGGTCTGGCCAAGGTGGTAGTGGCACTGCTATCTTGCCCACCAACTAGTGTGCCCAGTGACAGAGTGTAGAGGACACTGTCAGTCCACATCACTCATGGCTGGAACCAGATCTGTAGAAAAACCTATTTTCCTTAAGGTCAACCTACCATTGCTGGACTACCCTGAAGTTCCCTTTAAGTAAGAGCCTTCCCACCCGCCACAGGCTATCTGCTACTCCAGTCTGCCTGGCAGTGCTGCCCAGGGTATTTGCCCACTCCACAATGGGACCTCTCCTTTGTTCCTCAATGCAGCTGATATTTCCTGCAGGCATTCCCACTGTTCAGGGTTTAATCAGTATCCCCATTACAGTCATTTCTTAAAACCTAGTCACGGCAAGCTTTTGGTATACACTCTTTTTGTTTGGCAAAACCACTGGGAAGGTAACAAGAACACACAGGGAAATTATTTTAAATTGTTTTGCATGTTTGTGTTTTTTCTTTAAATGGAAAATAATGACTGTATAATATTCACATTGACTGTAACAGAGTTCTGGATATCTGAAAATTCTTAATTTTTAAAATAACGAATTCCAAATCTGAAGGGCTGTAATTCAAAATTCTGACACTGGGTTTTTCTGCTAGAGTATTTCCCTACTTTTTAAAAGTAGCCTTTGTTCATGTGTTTGCTGTTAAGAAGAATTTCAGAATATGCTGTGCTTTGAACCATGACAATACTCTTGCTATACATTTTAGGGTGGAATTGCTATAGGCACTAAATAAAGATTCAAAATTTAAGTTAAAGCTCCAAAGCATTTGCATAGATATGGATAACACTGCCATATGAACAAGGTTTATTTCAAGTAATACCCCAAAGAGCAGAAATGTACTAAGACAAAGAGGCAAATGAAATATTCTGGTTCACATAAAGCTTTGTGCAAAGTAGTTCTCTCTCTCCTCCCTCACATATACAGTGGGAAGTGCCAGTTCTTGGCAGAACACTCCACAGCATGTACTCACACCACCTGTGCATTCATCCTACAAAGATGGTGCACACACTGTCTCCTACACCAAAGAGATATTCATTTGGGAGCACCTATTTAATTAAGCTTTCCGTTTCAGCTTGCTTTCTGTAAGATCAACTTTCAAACAGCTGTTCTTGTGTAAGATTAATCCATTCAAGTGCAACATGCTAGAGGAAAAACAGGATACTCATGATACATATAAATAAGGCATCCAGCTTTAACAGCAAGCAGACTTTAAAAGCACATCTGGAGCGTCATGTTAGCCAATATCCTTGACTATTCAGAATCACATGTTTCTGAGAATATTAACATGCAGTCAATAGGCAGTCAGATGAATCTGCTCCTTCTTCTATCAAAATAAAATTGGATAAGCTAATCGAAAAGGTGTCACATGAATATTGCTGTGTATACCCCTTGTTGAAATTTTTGTCATCATCCACCCACTGAATGTACACGTGCTCTTGAGGCTCTTCAGCATCCATTTTACCACAAACAATAGTGAAGTCTTTCATCTCCCTCAAAGCCTGTCTCAGGGACTCCATGTTTTCAGCCGTTATTTGGACCATGACACCATCTAGGTAAGACAAGACATAATTGCTAAAAAAAATCCACCTTAAATCAAGAGATAAAGTGTACAAAGATTAACAAGTATTATATTGGATCAATGTTTCAAACAAGTTTTGGACAAACATATAGTATGGAATTATTATCTTGTCCGCTGGATTTCTCATTGGTTTAAGGGTCCAAATATGTACTTCCCAGACTAGAGAAACTGCACATCCCAAACTCAAAGCATAAAATATGTGGATTAGGCCACTGCACCAGGGCTCCGTACACATATAACCTCTATACAAGCAATCAGTCCAAAGCCTGAAACATCAAGCATGGATGGGAACAGCAGAATCTTAATCTCCACTCATCTACATCTCCTCATACTTCTTCCTTTTCCATGTAATGTTTACATAAACTTTCCCCTGAAAGTGTGCACACCATTACAAAGACTAAACTGTGATATGTGCCAATGCCAACAAAGATAATACCTCTGTGTGTGTGTGTGTGTGTATGTGTGTTTTGCGCAATTATCCTTATTTTGTGACCTCTTTCCATGTTCCCACACTAAAACTTCATAGACAAAAGCCAGTATCCTATAAAAAAGTACAGTGTATGCAAAAACAATCATAATAACGACTGGTGCCTCACCAATTAATCAACTGCTGTTGTACGTGTGGTAATTCACAACAGGACACAGCCAGATAGTTTCAAACTAATGAGCAACTTCACCCATGAAATCTCATTGTGGCATCTGCAGTATTATTTATTTCCTGCATTTCTATATTACCCAATAGCCGATGTTTGCTGGGTGTTAAGAAAAAAGTTAAAAATATAAAATCTAGATATAATAAAACAATGTAACCTCTTGAACAAGAAAAAGCCATAGAATAAAACCAGCAGCAGTACAGTAATTTCCCACTACTGCTAGATACTGTGAGGACCACTTCATATATAAACCTGCATATGCCCTTTTTTTTTTTACTTCTCTGAGCTTGTCTCTTGCAGCTTGCTAGACTCAAGAATTTCAGGTGAGCTTTGTAGTTAACTGAAAAATAGCAGCACAATGCTTTGCAAACATGGTAAGCCCACGACTACCCAAGCCATGTTTCTGCTATAGATTTGTAACTAAGAAAAAGCCAGCAGACTTTGTGAAACTTAACTCCAATCTTACCTTCTACAATACTTGACTTTGCAAGATAGCCTGAAGAAGATTTTAAAGCTCCACTAAACACAAAGAAGCTGGCCCCAGTAACTGCAAAAATGGGAGACATGAAGAAAATTCATAGTATGCATGAGCTAGCTTTCAGAATTAGATCAGTTACAGAGCAGCAAGTACCCTCCAAAATAAATTTATGCAACCACTAGTATCCACTATTTGAGGAAAGCTTCCTTTGGCGGTTAGTTTCTAAGACCACTGAAACGTTTTAAAACTTAAAAAGAAGAACAAGTACCTATTGTACTATTAATGTGAAATATATAGGCTATTCTGTAAGATACATTTTCATTACTGCATGTCTTCACTGCATGTGATCACAATTTAAAGGCAATCCTAAGCAACACGTTCAGTATGGTCAGTTCTGAGGAAATTACTACTTCAGCTGCTGGTCTTTTGCTTAATGCAATTAATTAATAAAATTAACCTTCGCTTTTCTTTTCTTGAATAATGCTTTGCCCAAAAAGAGATTTTGCAAGATTAGTTTCCCTTAGAAGGAGTAATCATGAGTGACACACTCTCTCTTCATGAGACTCTTCTTAGAAATGAATGGGAGCAGGAAAGCAGGAGATATAAGTCATGCAAACCCAACAGGTATGAAATTTCAAAAATGGAACAAGATGAGGGTTCAATGGCATTCTGCTTCCAGGAAGACACTCAATTCAAGATTGTTTTTCCCCAACCTACGTCCTATGATTTATATTCCTGGAAGAAATTCTGAATATCCCGTGTCACCAGCCAGCAAAAAGTTTAAAGTCTTAAACTTTATGCCTTATACTGCTGTGTGCTCCAGTGACAATCCATGCCTGGCCATACTCATCCATCTTCTTAGAACTTTAAAGTTGTATTACAGCAGTGATGTTTACATGGGCCTGTCCTCAAAGACTTTTCAGCAGGTTTAAGTGGTGCTCACTTCTCCTTTCAATCTTTTAACGCTGAGGTCACAGACTGTTGTAGAACTGGATCAAGCAAGCATAATAAAGGAGTACTAGGAACACCTGTTTCTGCAGATTCTCTCTCTTACATTGCTAGTTTACTTGCGAAGTGATAAATTTAGGCATGTGAAAAATGTAAAATTCAATTAAGTAAATAGTGATCTCATCACTGGTCAAGAAGGTGTAAAACTATGAGCTCACACAAGAAGACAACATAATGTTTCAGCCACTGACTGGATTCAGTGTAACTCTGAACTATGGTTTAGCATCATATTACTGAGCCATGGCACACTTCATATACCCTCCCCACACCTCTACTGCATGCACCAAAAGAATATTCTAAAAGATTCCACTTCCACATGCTGCTTCCTGTTAAATCCAGCTCCTTCACTGTGGATAGTTGAAATATACAAAGACCAGCAAGCATAACATAGTATACAGCTCCAATGTGCTGGACTGCTCCTCCTGTCATCCCTAATCATTACCTGTCTATGTTGGGGATTATAATGGGAGTAGTAATTCAATTAATGCAGAGGTCATCAGGCTGGGCAAGGCTAATTCAGCATTATGTCTGAACGGGGGATTGTGTTACATCAGAAAGAAGAAAAATGGACTTAAAGTGAAGGTAAATTAGAATAAAAGGCAAAATGGAATTCAAATCACTGGAAAAGCATGCTTGCATGAAGTTCCAATTATGTTAAATTCAGAATTATACATCAATTTTTATATTTTGATTTACACCACTGTCAGATGGCCATCAGATGGCCTTCACTGTTAATGAAGTGTCAGACCTATTTGCTCATCATCTACTTAGAAAATTAAAAGGGACTGATAACAACTCAGATCTACAAATGAAATCTTGCAAGAAGCGTATTATTGGAAAAAAACAGTATCAACTCTTACCCTTTCGTGGCTGATTGTGAATACTGATTGCTTGTGTCTGATAGTTCCCATCATCGTTCTGCACACAAACTAGATGGGAGTCTGCCCTCTCATTAAAACATGCCCCTCCTGCTAGAACATGCTCATTGGATTTGTTCATGGCTTTCATCATCTACAACCAAGAAGAAAATACTGTCACTTCCTTGCTAAATAGGTGGTAGGCGTTTATTTATTTACATAAACCATTCACAGTCCACCCTGTACTGCAAGATCTCCCAGAAGTTTACAGAGCCAACTATTTTAGATCCAACTGTCTGTATCTTCCAAGTCAGTTTCCAGATACTTAATATTTCATTTCATATTTTTCATTTCATTTCTAGAACTGGAGCATCATGTATTTATTTATACACATACCTCATTGTACCTGTTGCTAGGAATTCTGATGCTGGTTTTCCTTACTTCCATATCAACCACTAAGCCTGGGACAACTGGTAATGTATACTGGTAATTTCTGAAGTCCTGTCAGTTCACAGAACAACTAAAGTTATGATAATTATCCACAAAGTTTGAGTTTTACCAATGCAAGAACTGCAGAACAAAGTATTACAGATATATTACATTAAAAACAATACATTCAGTTCAGTTACAAGATAAGAATACTGAAAGACATATTTAGTTTTGGAGGCAAGAAAAAAACCAAAAGAGGATGTATAAACAATATAATATGAAGGACAGAACATTAATTCTTTTCCAATAAGTTAGTTGAATGAGTGGCAACAATGCAAAGTCTAGAGGTATTTAGCTGGTGTCTATGGCTGAGGAGGAGGAAGAGGGTGTTGCCCACTTGACCATGCCATATTCCCTCTCTCCCTTATGCCTATTTCTTGGAGTCTGAAAACATGTCACAAATTCAGCACAGCTACATTTCTAAACTGCTGAAATAATGAAAGGCATAGACCCAAGGTAATCTTTCGGTTCCAGAGTGCCCTTTCTCCAGGATACAAAAAATACCACAAGACATGAGAACAAGGCTTATGGCTTTAAAAGTGAGAAGATAAGAAGTCCCCTCAACCAGTTACAAGGCTTGAGTAGACGTACAGTGCTTGTTTAGAGCTCTGGCCTCCAATTCAATCTTTCAGATATGTTAAAGATCATACAGAATCACACTCCAAGTGTTTGTTCTACATGAGATGACAATAATTTAATAATATTAAGTATATCGCATCTAAATGAATAAACCAAGTGTGCACAATATTTTCAGAACAGCTGTGTAGAAGAGAGAATAATACACTTCCCTGCTTCATTATTACAATATATATATCTTGTAACCATTACTTACTGCAAGGAGATTCATAATTGTGTGCCCAGTCTCTCCAAACAATGGCTTGCGAAATCTGACACTGAAGAGGGGGCATGGATACACTAGGAAAATAAATCAGATCTGAATTTATCTTATGAAAAATTTACACAAAAATATTTTCATTTTATTGCTATAAAATTTAGATGCAGAAAAATATCATATAGGGATGGGAGGAGAATTTTCACCTACTCTAGTGCCTAAGACCATTTCAAGGACAGAATGAATTTTACCTTCAGCTTTTTATTTTGAGAGTCAACGTTTTCTGAGGAAACACATCTATGCTTCCAACAACAATATTTTTATCTGCACTCTACATATTGCAGTGTTCTTACTGGCATACCACAGAGCCAAAATGGGAGCACAGAAAGCTGGGGCATGTGGGTGCAACCAAACCCTGACCCACGCAATTCTGAAACTCCTGGGTTTGCCAGTTCAATGTGTTTAACTGAGTGAATTTGACCATTTTAAAAAATATTAATGAAGAATATATATATGAAGAAAAAACAAACATTCACAACCTCAACTAATACAATGGCGTGCATCATACTCCATGAACAGAAGAATGTTTCATTCACAAAAAAAAGCTGTGGCAAGGTTTCCTTCCCTGAGCAGAAACTCCTTCCCATTTGTTCCAGGAACAAAACGTTGGGATCCAAACCAGTATCATTACCAGCTACAAGACAATCAAGTCCAGCATAAGGTTTTTTGTTAGTTCATCCAGACATACTCTTCTCCAAAACTAATGTTGAATCACAAGAATTTGAAGAAAAATAGGACTTACACCTATATTCAGCTCCAAGTCTCAGCATCAGTCGGATGGGAAACACTTTGGCCCAAGGAGTTTCCCATTTCTGGATAAGAATTCCAAATAAATATGGTGGGGTAGGGAGCACCAGGTCCTGCAGCGACTGATACACAGGAGTAACATACAAGAAACCACCATGTTCCTTACTATTAAGGAAACTCTGGCTGAAAAACGAGTGACCTAAATTGCCCACAACATTACCTACAAAATCAAAAGATACAGTTATTTTAACAAACATATCCCATTATAAATTAGAAATCAAACAAAGCCCACTTCCACTTGCACTAATTATCAAACAACACATGCGTTTTAGGAAGGGGACTTCAGTTCTTGAGAGATCTTAAAATGTAAAAAATAAACAAATAAAATAAGAAAACTACCTATTAAGTTCCTAAATGTGTATTTTGATCAACATTAAGATAGCATTTCAGAAAAAAAATCATTCATTCATTATTTGGTATTATGCTTGCTCAATGGCTTCATTAATTTTCCTCCTAAACCACTCATTTAAACTTTCATGTACAGTATAGAGTTGAGCTCTCCTGTTTTAAGCATACACTCACAGAATTATAATTCTCAATTCTCTGACAAATCAGAAGGCCCTTTGCATGTGCAAAATTAACAGTAGAGAGAGTGAAGTTCTACCACATGCTAACAGGATGTTTTTGGTGCACAAAACTATTATAATGCATAACCTTCCAACAATGGAGGAAGTAAGTGCATTTCATTAATGTCTGCACTAATTCATAGTGACAGCTAAAACTAGAAAAAGGACCCAGAAGTATTGCAAAAGAAAACATAGAACAAAAGGAGTTTTCTGTATGGAGAGAATGTATACAATGGAACCTCTACTTAAGAACTTAATCCGTATTGAAATGGTGTTCTTAACTTGAAACGTTCTTAAGTTAAAGCAAAATTTCCCATAGGAATGCACTGAAAACCAGTTAATGTGTTCCGGCTGTTTTTTGTTCTTATGTAGAGGCGCGTTCATACGTTGAAGCATTAGTTCCCATAGAAACCAGTGCAAAGCCGGTTAATCCATACTCTACCTCTAGGGGGAGAAATTTTTTTAACCTAAGATGACCTAAGGTTAAAAAAAGGGCAGGAAAGTTTTTTTTTTGGTTCTTATCTTGGAGCTCCGTTCTCAAGTAGAAGCAAAATTTAGCGAACGGAGCTGTTCTTAAGTTGGATCATTCTTAAGTAGGGATGGATCGTTCTTAAGTAGGGACGTTCTTAAGTAGAGGTTCCACTGTACTGTACATAAGTGTACACACACTGTTGCACTCTTATCAGGATCTCCCACTTAAATCCAGCTTTTATTGTTTTGAAACTGGAGGAACATGCTGTTTCAGTAGTAATCACATAATTAGCATTCCTAAAAGTACACCCATCCTGACAGATACAAGCAGGAAGCTTAGTAAGCTGAAAAACACTTTGAAGCAGCTGTGAGCTATCTAAGGGTAAGCTGTTGTACATCTTAGGCTGGAGCTACAGAACACTTTTGACGAGAACTGAAAATGATTTGAGAAATGTTCAACTTCCCTTGATAGATGAATATCTGTTCTGCATCAATTTCATCTGTGGTTGAACAGGTTCTGCAGAATATCTTGCAAAAATTTGTTTCCAGTTTTTAGATATTTTTTTCTTTTACTTAATACAGGGCCTTAACCCCTACAGTGAAAATATTGAAATACTGTAGTACATCATAAATTTATTTTATAATCAAAAAGCTATTCTATAGTAGCACTGTAGAGCACAGAGATGCAAGAATCAAGTTAACACAGGAAATGAGTTAAATGACTACAATCTTCGATCCACCTTTTCAGTTTGCTGGAACACAGGACAAAGATCCAGGCATGAGATAGCCTGGGACTGACCCTCTCATGTCCTCATAATTCAGTAAATGTAACGTCTCACAACAATGTTTCTGTCACAGAGCTGCAGGATAGTGGCCAGTAATCTGTTCCTTAGTTACACTGTCATAGTGGGAAATTACATCACTGGCAATAACAGACTCCCACTAATTAAAAAGTTCCTGCTCTGATTTCACTCTGCAGCTGAATTAAAACCGAACAGGATACTGAACAGTATATCAAAGATTACCAGAAATAAATGCAAAAGAAATTGCATAGACAGAATTCAAAATAAACTACATCTATCTATCTATCTATCTATCTATCTATCTATCTATCTATCTATCTATCTATCTATCTATCTATCTATCTATCTATCTATCTATTTATTTAACTTATATGCCGGCCACACTACATAAAGATCATAAATTATGTAAGCCCATAACAGAATTGCCCATAACACAATTACAACAGTTGGGGCTGAAGTTCAATCAGCAACTGAAGCTGAAATGGAAAGCACTTTGCATATTGAGCAGAAGACTCTTATGCCACCAAAGGCAAGGGAAGATCTATAGCAGTGTATCCACAACATACAAGGCAATGGCAGCTCACTGCAACTAGAGGGGGAGATGACAAGGTATTGATTTTCTCACTTGTATTTCTGCCTGACAGTGTTTCTTTTTATTTCTCTCTGATTGACCACAACAGGAGAGCAACTACCTACGACAGCTTGAAGGCTGGTGTCATTCTGGGACCTACCCAGCCATCCTTGGGAGAATAAAGGAGCCCAAATCCAAGTGTGTCCCAGACACTACACATTTGTGATGACCAAAGTATTCAAGTCAATTAGATTACCATCATCGATCAGTTTTCATATAGGCAGTTTTCTTACCTGCCAAGGCATCTCGATAAAGCTGCACAAAGTGGTTGAAGATATCCTTGGGCAAACACTTCTCATCAGGTAAACACTGGAGAAGTATTACTATTTCAGACTGGCCTACTGCATGCATTCCTTTTGTTGTAAAGCACCAGCACTTCCTGTTCACATCTGGAGAAGAGAAAACATAGTGAGTTGTTTTAAATGAAAAAAATGGACAAAAATATAAAGTGAATGCAGACATTATTGAAGGCAAAAATGAAAGAATGCCCTATTTTTATAGAGATTATCCTACTTTTAGAAAAAAAAACAATTAACAATAGCCATACCAGGTATATGCGAATTAGAACCAAAACACTGGTCTGGTAGGGATTTAATCTTTCTTCCCATGTCACTTTCCCCAATTAAAATATCCTCAAAAATATTGTCCCTACAGAGGAAAATTATCTAAACACAATATATCACACCTGATCTGATCTAACAGCTTTGGCAGTGGCTACTGACTGAAAATCATGATCAAAGCTTTTCTATATCATACCTAGCTATCCCCTTAAATGACATTATAGACTGTGGTTTTATACACACAATAACTCAGAATACTAAATGAAGATTCTATTCAAATGTATTACTATATTAATTTGACTCCACATGTTATCAGCAGGAAAACCTTTCTAGACTTCTAATTTCTGAATTAGTATTTCGAGATACTGCGACACAGAACAGCCAGTGCTTTTAAGAAAAGGGAATATTGTTAATGCATTACACTTTCACCATAGTTTAAAATGATTTGACTTACAATTTACAATTTTAACCATGGACAACAAATTTGCATTCAAAACAAACACAAGAGGGTCTGGACCACCATCCTCTAGCTGCTGCATCACTGAGATATGAGATGGTTTTTCTTCTACTGCATAATCTAAAAGAAAATAATGATTAGCTGTCAAAGGATAATTGTATAATATCTCTTGTAATATAGCAGTATCATACCTCTGATATTTAAGCATAGTGTGGACTAGCATTTTATTCAAAGAGGCTATGTCATATGAGCTGTCATTATTATTATTTGCCATCAAGTTGCTTCTGACTTATGATCCCCCTCCGCAAGACTGTTTAGTATAAAGTGGTTTACAAGGACTCGTAGCAGTCCTTCCTTCCCTGGTGGTCTGGGAATGTGCAGCTGGGAATGCACAGCCTGCCCAAGGATATACAGGTGGCAGGGCACATAACTCCACCAGCCACACACACTCCGAGTGCTTCCTTTCCAAGGAGTCACAGGGTGCAGGGAGTTGTAACTCCTGACCCCAATACTTGCGCACTAAGTAATACCACCAATCTCAAAAATGAACTTTTGATCTACAGTTCTGCCTACTGTTATCCAGGTCAGAAAACAGTATTCAGAAAAGTAGATCAATGGTTCTGCTATTCAAAATGTTTTCTGCTTTTAAAAAAAACTATCCAATGCCATGGAGGAGTGGTTAAACTGCATTACTGCAGTCAAGCCTCTGCTCATGACCTGAGTTTGGTCCCAACGGTTTCAAGTAGCTGGTTTAAGGTAGACTCAGCCTTCCATCCTTTCAAGGTTGGTAAAATGAGTACCCAGCTTGCTGGAGGGCAAAATGTTCCTTGCTTAATTCAGTTGTAAACTGCCCAAAGAGTGCTCTACCCACTATGGGGCTATATATAAGTTGAAACAACAGCAGCACTATTGCTATTGTTAATCACACAAGATTTTTTTAAAGCAAATGTTATGATCTATGTGTGTTTAGCATATCAAAGAACTTAATACAGTGGTGCCTCGCTTAACGAGCGCACCGTATAACGACAAAATCGCATAGCGATTAGGTTTTTGCGATCGCAAATGCAATCGCATACCGACGGCCCCTATGGGCAAAAATCGCTTTGCGAAGATCGGTAAGTGTTTCGCTTACCGAACTTCGCAAAGCGATGCCGCGGATCAGCTGTTCAGCGGCTCCAAAACGGCGGCCAGAAGCCCTGAAATGGCCGCGCGCAGCGTTTTCGCGTCCTCCCCTCGCTTACCGAGGGCATGAAAATGGCTGCCGGCTATGGAACAACTTCGCTGAACGGTGAGTTTTGGAGCCTATTGGAACGCATTAAACTAAGTTTAATGCGTTCCAATGGCTTTCCCCGTTTCGTACAGCGATGTTTCGCCATAGCGATGGTAAATCCGGAACGGATTAACCTCACTATGCAAGGCACCACTGTATAAGCCAAGGCTTTTGGAGGCTCTATCAAATATAATCACTACAAATATTGTACTGTACTGCATCTCCCAGATCTTTTTCCCCATTTAAAAAATCCACCGTAGAAATTTCTAAGTAAAACAGATTTTACTCTGCTCTCCAGGTTATCATTGTCTGGGGCAATTCACACACTTTACAACTGATTACAAATAAAAACTTGTAGAGGAAAAGTTCATCAACAACTTTAAATAACTCATCTGCTTAACATCATTGTGACTCTACCATCATTATCTTACCCATTGTTATTTTACTATTATCAATGTATGACAAAGGTTCTCACATTTTTACAGCACCAGTTTCTACTAAAGGCCTGCATATCAAAGACACTATAATCAATGTTTAACACTCACTGACTGTCCTACCAACCAACCACTGTCTTGATGTCGTGTATAAATGTGCCACATTGTATCTCCTTCTCTTATGTCTGATGAAGACACCTATCCACAAACGCTCACATTTTTTAAAAAGTTAGTCTTTAAAGTGCCACCATGTCTTTGTCTTTTTTTTAAAACTCTTTTTTAATTTTGTTTTCACCTATAATGCTTGCATAGACCAACAAGGCTACCCCTTCTACAATTACTACTCAGAGATCTCTGGGACCTAAAGGAAGGGAAAAGGAAATGTGCAATTACTTTAAATTAATACTTCTGGAACCTGATCCAGGTTACACCAGTACAATGTTACACAACAGGATTTTGCCCAATATATCTACCGTGTTTCTTATTTTCAGGGAAACAGGGTAACAAAATGGATCAAATAAATCTGCTAATCTTAAAGGTATCACAATGTTTCTGATGTTTTTTCTTTGTGTTTTTCTTGAAACAGACTAACAAAATTACCTATATGAAAATTACCATCAGATAGCAACAGAGATCAGGCAAGAAACAGAAAAATAATCTCAGAAATTGGTACTTTCTGAGAAGGTGAATTATTCCTTCCAATATTGCTTGTGTGAAGAGAATCCTTCCATTCTTCCCATCACTCTCCAGTGTACCTGAATAAATATTGTTGATGCAGAATGATACACAGAACTACCACTTACGTAAGAAGAAACAGTTGATTACATCTTGTTAAGTTTGGCCTTGTTTGCTGCAAGCCCTTTGGCCTTGACAATGCAGAGGTTTGTCTTTCGTATGGGCTCTCCTATCCTAGACTAAAATTTGTTAAATAGATTTTTACATATGCCATTGTTCAGGTCTCACCTCCTTTTACCCCAGTAGAGATGAGAATTGGAGGAAGTCCATCTTCCGGAATAAGATTCATTGCACTGCCAACTGGACTTCCAACCTGAGTTTTACTTCTTGAAAATGCCAGCGTGTTTTCAGTCTACAAGAGATGACAAAGAACACCAGTACTGCATAAATAAATAATGAGACATATTTCAGTCTTCGCTGCGTAAACACAAGATACCAGAGCAATTTCTTCTACAGATTTTAACAAAAAGAGTAAAATGACAGTGAGGTTTCTACACTGTCTGATGAAGAGAACTCACACCTCATGCACAGATACTAGTATCCATATTCTTGACACATAAATCAACTGTGATTCAGACTTTCCACGACAGGTGTTTCAAAGGACACTTCACTGGAGGAAGACACTTTTCTGGCCCCACAGACCTCTCATGCTGTACCACAGGGTCCTCCTACCTCTGGTTTTTCATTGGGAAGGGAGAACTGCTTCTTCTGTCTTCCTTCAGCAGGAGCCTCCAAATCTCTTCCACAAATGAAAGAAGCTCTTCTTTACTCAAAAGACATGTCCTCATCACCTAACCAATGTTATGCATCATCAACACTTAACTGTATCACCTAAAATATTCCTTGGCAATATTATTTGAACTGTCCAATCAACTATACAGTGAAGAAGGGCACCTTCTCACCTCTACTGGTGAAGCACTGTTGCTCATGGGCTTGCTTGGATCATGTGACACTGCTAGCGCTCCAGCAGAGGTTGTTCCAGATACTGTCAATTTGGCTGCATCAGCAACTTCTCCATTGGGTAAGATGCCATCAGCAAACCAAACACGTCGTTGTTCTCTGGGCTGAGCCACTAGGGAGAGGAATGTACGCAGCTTTACATGCACAAAAAAAACCCTATACATGCCTGAAATAAAGTACTGTATAACCAACTGACTATAAAGTCTAAAAAATGATGCAGAAATGTGTTGATATGCAAATTAGACACAGAAAACTCTAAGTATGAATATTTCTAAGGCCACACTCCAAAGAGTGCAGCAGATTCCCATAGCATGACAACATGCAAGGTCCACAAACAGTTCCCCACGTGCCCAAGTAAACAATGCTAATCTGCATTGTGATAATGCTTTTTGAACAAAGAAGCACTCCTCCCTTTCTCGCTGTTACACACACACCCCTAACAGATCTCCACAAAGTCAGTCTCTATTTAAAAGCTGTGAACTAAAAGCAGGGTCAAAGTCATTTTCTGAGAAAACTGACAACTAAGTAGCAATCTTGTATCAGATCTGGCTCCAAGACCAAAATATTATTCGCTGAGGAGTAGCCTAGTTTACATACAGGCAAGAATAACAGCATCATGCAATGAGGCCTCCATTCCAGAATCCCTACCTTCTGTACCTGGGTGCTTCAAGACCCCCACAGGTACCATAACAGTAGGTGGAGGAGAGTTCAGGGCTCCAGAAGCCTGGGCTTGCTGCAAGGGTGGAATGGTAGAACAGTATTCAGCAGGATTGTTGGGATTAGGGCTCTGGCTTGAGGCACTCATCATGTTCTCCCAAGCTTGTGCTAGGAAAACACAAAACACACAAGAAGACATCAGTTACACAAATATACACCACATACAGGAAGAGGAAAACATGCAAATCAAGAATTCTAGGTCATGGTCTTTCCCTCTTTGTTAGAAACACTAAAATAGGGACTAAAGTATGGAAGCTCTTGTACAGTAGACAAGTTAGCTCTCCGTTTCAAGCTACAAACATGGAACTGACACTGATAAAGGTGTATCTGGAAACTGCTCATAAGCCTGATAATCGTATGGCTGAAGTCCTGTTGCTGCACATGTCGCCATGTAAAACTGATGATATCATAAGTAACAGCCATTTTTCAGAAATAAAACATTTCCAGTTTCTCCCTGAAGGTCCAAGACTCCAACAGAATAGTTTCCATCATCAGGAATCTGTTGGGGGCCACAGGATGGAAGGGGAAAGTCTTCAATGAAAATCACAGTTTCTGGAATGACTTATTACTAGCAGTAATTTTTGATAATTAAAACTTTCCATCTCCTGTCTTGTAGGCCCCAATGGCTTCCTGACAATGCAACTGATTTCACAAGAGTCTCAGGACCTTCAGTGGAGAAATTGGACATGTTTTATTTCTGAAAAATTGTCACAGCTGATGATGCCATTAGCCTTACAAGGCATAACTTACACAACAGGATTTCAGCCAATACGTTTTATAACTGATTATCTTGCAAGACTGCTCTCTTCATAGATGATTAAACGCTGAGTTACATCTGAATTTTACATTTGTCTGACTTCCAGAATCATTAGAACCTTATTTTCCAAGACTAAGACTACAGAAGCCATGACTCAACTGGTGATATTAGAGTACGTTTTTATCCTTGACAGCTATGGAAGTCTGTATTAAGAGCTGTGCATTCCACAACTGAGAAGCAAGCCTGATTGTCTTTATATCTGGTATGTCTGAAGTGTAACTAGGAATTCTGACCTTATCCAACTATTGTGACCCAAAGAGCTTCCTCTCCTTTTCAAACTGTAGTAGCATCCTGCAGGATTTCAAGTAGACATCTCAGTGGCATGAGATGCTTAACATCATTGTGACTCTACCATTGTTATTTTACCCATAGTTATTTTAATATTATCAATCTATGACCAAGGTTCTCACATTTTTTACAGCACCAGTTTCTACTAAAGCCCTGCATGTGCCTCCTTGTGAGCTCCCTACAGTTGTTTGGGCTGCTTTTTATAAGCCATTTGAGTGCTTAGCAAATAGAGTGAAGATGGTTCCGAGCACCAGAACAAGTTGCAAAATAAGCTGTCCAACTACATCAGGAACCCAGCAGCTGTCATTCAGAAACACAAAGATCTGGACTTAAACTCTCAAACACAGTCAATAATAAAAAATAATAATAATCCTGTATCAACAACATCCAATGACAAGATGTTTTGATGCAACTTTAATTATTGCCAAAATATATATCTATGCTGTCAAATGCCTGTATGAGCCCTAGTCTTCACATCCTAGATATACAAAAGGAGGATAAAGAAATTTTCACAGGACTTCCTCAATTATTTTCTGATACCTCTGGCATAAAAACATAATCACTCCAGAAGTAAAAACATAACTCTTCATCTCTTATTTGCAACCCCTATCAACTAAAACAGCAATTGTTTGGAAAAGACTCAAAAAGAAGAGAAAGGTGTTGAGAATTGTAAGTAGGTGTGTATTTAAATGTATGATGAGTGCAAAAAACACAGAAATACCACTATATCAGCCCACTTAACATATACATAAATAAATAATTAACAAAATCATTGCCTCAGAGAACAAGGAATGATGAAGAACTTGCTGTACAGCACCGAAGGAATTTGGACACCAACGTAACTTAGCTGCTCGGATTATACAGATGAGCTGATAAACAAGAAAGCACTGTCACAACAACACTACCAGGCACTAAAGCTTTATAGAAACATGTCAACAGAGATAGTTCTAGGCAAACAGGACTTCTTTTATAAATGCTTTTTCTCACCAATGCTAATAAGTAATGGAACAGAGAGGTATTTTTCATAAAGACTATTAAAATACAAATTATTTGATTATGCTTCTTAAAATGAAAAACCCTAAGTTTCAAACGAAGCTGTTTCAGGTGTGATTGTTCTACAAACCACCCAAAGTTACAGTTCATTGACTGAACAAGTCAGTTATTGTCATTCAAGTGCAATGGTTCCCGCTGACCAAGGGGAGAGAAAAGTACTACAGCAAATCACACACTCTCAACTTTCTTTGGAAAAAAATAGCCACAGTTTTTTTTAGTTGCAGCTGCCAAAAAGCCACGGTGTTAGCATAGAGGATGGATCACCCATCAGTTGAGTCACCTGTTCACTAATGATAACTCAGGTAACAGAATTGGAGTTAACCATATGAACATGTGCCACTGTGTGGATCCCTCTTGTCACTTGGGGGGGGGGGAGTCTGCAACACTCCCAAGCTGGATATGCACCTGGACTCTGCCTCCTAAAAAGGGGGACTCTACCTGAGGAACACATTTCCTATGGATGCTGTACAGCACCAAAGGAATTTGGACACCCTGCTCAAAATCACCCCCAGTAAGTTATGATGAAATTACAAGAAACCCTTCCATTTTACTATACACAGATGTACACCAGAAAACTCAAAATGTAAAGAGGGAGAATAAGTGGGAGAAGCACCAATTATGAAAGAGGCCAACTAGCTGAGATCAGCCTACTGGATGATCCAATTGCTTATCTTTGGAAGTATGGGAAGTTCCTCCTTCACCATACTACCCCAGCCCTACAGAGGCCTGATGATGACAAAGACACTGCCCATTAAGTCAGAGACTGTTCTGGTGTAGTGAGAACACAGAGTTCTCACTCCTTTCCTCTGAAGATGCCCGCCACAGAGAGTGGCGAAACGTTAGGTAGAAAAACCTCCAGAACACGGCCAAAGAGCCCGAAAAATTTACAACAACCATCAGGTCCCGGGCGTGAAAGCCTTTGAAAATACAAAAGCAATAAGGTTTTACAATAGAAGAACAACCTGAAGAGATACTTGAGAACTTCTCATAGCAATATTCCTTGTTCTCTGGAAAAAAAATCGATGTCATCTTAGTCACTACTTTTTAAAGGCTCTTAATATTTAACCATTTTAAAAGTACTCATAGTCCATTAATGCTTTTTCAAAACTTAGTACAAACTTTAACTACTTATTCTTTTGAGACAGAAGTGATCCCTTAACACTTATATCTGTAAAGAAGTGGTGTTACATACACCACTTACAAGGACTTTTTTGATCCTGTTAAGTCATAAAAGCAAATTTTGCAGCATGGGTTTTTTCTTCTTTTCAACTACGTAGTTTTGCTGTTTTAGGAAATAAGTCATAACTGCAATGAAGCACTGTAGCGAAACGCCAACAGGTGACGTCATTCCTGCCTGTCCATCACAGAAGCTCAAGGGGGAGGAGCCAAGGATAGGGCAGGAGGGGCGGAGTTAGAGAGACAGTTGGAGATGTGGAATAGCAGTTAGGGTTTAGGAGAGAGAAGGAGAGGGTTAGAGAATTGAGCTGAGAGTGTTAGGAGAGGGAATTGAGAAGGTTGAAATATATTGAACAAGCAGGAATGAAGTTATAAGTACTATAAGAGAGATATTGATTAAAAGTATATAGTAGTTTGGAATAAAAGTGATTGCTTACATGATCCAATCCGTGTTAATATCTGATACAGTTCATATGTGATTTACCTTTATGATTTACTTGACAATAAAAGAATGTTTGTTAATTAAACCTCTGATCGCTAAGCTCAATAACCCTTAGTGTTGGCAGCACACGTGTATAACATAATTGGTATTAGGAGAACACCTGGTGGCAGCTAGAAGAGAAACAGGGCGTGATCCTTTGTGAGGACCAAATAAACAGGGGCCACAAGCACATACTCTTCTGTTTGTGTTATCAAGTATAGGCACAGGAGATAAGAAAAATGAGCTGAAGACAATTTTATGAACGTCTTTGAGTTTAAAGATCATTACTTTTTCTACTATGAATCAGAAAAAGGAAAGTTGTAGGATGTTCTGATTGCAGTTCCAGTACTGAACTATGACAGCTGTCACTACAAAAAATCATTTCCCATATTAAAATAATTTTCAGTAGGAGAACAAGATTCATTGGGCCACCCAATCATCCCACCTATGCACATGGATGATTCAGGCACAAAGGCAGTGGAACTTACATATGGTTCCAACCCTGTTACTTACCATTCATTAGGACCGAATGGCATATAACACACACTCTGGCTTCCTTTCTGTCCATATATACCAGTTTACACTTTAAGCTGCAGCATGCTGCACAGAAGACCTTAAATAAAAGAGGAAAATATGCATTCAGTCACTTAGTAATCTCTTATGACTAAGAACATTCAACCAGATTGAATTTCATGTCTATATAGCCAAGAGTAACTAACCCTGCTTTATTCTGATTCTACAGAATTGTGACATAATGCACAGCAAATTTGTGTTTAGTACAACAATAAAAACTGATTATAGGCAGGGCTTGAAAAATTTTAGAATATCTCACCAGTCAATCAAAAATTTCACCAGTCAGCATGACCAGACTATAGCCTTGCAATTTATTGGGATTGGGAATCATTGATTTATACCCTCAGACTTGGGTTATTATTGATTGATTGATTGATTGATTGATTGATTGATTGATTGATTGATTCCCCGCCCATCTGGGTTGCCTTATTACCTGTGTGTCTGTGGGGACAAAAAACTTGTATTTTGAATGCCTTTCTTTTGAATGTCTCCAGCAAAAATAAAACTGAAAGCAAAAGCACCCGGCCTCTTAAGGAGCCACGGTTCCCTTCCACCCCAGGATGTGTCCTGTTCGGTTGAAATTGGGAGCAGGGAATCTCCATATTCTCCAGCATGGGACTACTCTACATTCTCCTGCAGAGCTATATCTCTATGTGGCGCTCAAACTCTCTTCTTGCGAGAAGAGAGCAGTTTTCCTTTTGCAATCGGACGGGGGAGGGGAGGACTGAGAGAGAGAGAGAGTGTGTCGGAGGGGAAGGAGGCAGGGAGGGAGCTGTGACTTGTCCCGCAGCATTTTTCACTCATCACAGACGAGTGAGTGGATGAGCTCTGATTATAGGGATTTCAGACTTTAATGAATTAGAGGTCTTGGTCATTCTAGGTATGTATATTGATTTGCACTGAACAATAAGCTACTATTCCAGAAGAACTGCATTTTCTCCAGCTCTGTACATGTAAGGTTAATGATGTCATCAGCTACAGACTTCGATGTTTAAATAAATGTTTCCTATTTTCCCTCAATCAGATTCTGATGCTGCCTGGGGATCCTTTTTCAAACTTGGAAAGTTTTTGGGGTTCTCAGGATGGGGGGGAGCATTTGGTACCCATCAATCATTTCAGGCATTAAAGGCTTCCCTTGGGACAGTTTTCACATGTTAGGGATTTTCACTAACAAAATCTGGCCATTATCTAATTGCACTGAAAATGTAAAATAAGCCAAATACAACTGATCATAAGGTGCAGAATATAAAAACCTTACAAACTCTATGATCCTGGCAACTTCCACATATCATTTTAAAAAATCATATCATAAAAGCTGTGCCCAGGTTTTACATATGTGCTTCGATGTTTACTACTACTGAGTTGCTTTTGAATTTACAGTGTCACAGCAACCAACCCTAAATGTGCATTATAAAAAAACCCAAATAGCAAAAATCCATCCAAGATAGCGCTTTAGAAGTCTGAAAGTAGGAATTTAGGGCTCATTTTATAATAATGAAAATACATTAACTAAGCACTTGTACTGCACAAATTGTAATGTTTGATTTTTGAATGACGTCCTTATTTTTCCCTTTCACATTTTAATATGAAGCTTAGCATCCTGCTTGAGAAAAAGATCTCTTAACAAAACACAGCCAACTAATAAGCAGTATCTATTATCTTTTGAACTAAACTTATCAACTCACTGAAACACAGTACAGCATGAAAAATAATTCTAATTATATACAAACAAAGAGAGATGCTAGTTTTAGAGTTTATTTTCCTTGATGGTGTATTAAAGTGTGAATTTTCATGGAAAATCCCATACTATAATAAATCTATTACTCCTAAAGATGCTTTTTATTTTTGTGTAAATATAAAATTAGTAGTACCTAAATTATTTTATGATGTATCTGCACTAGCTGAGGAATCATTACTGGATGTCAGTTAGCATCAGTTAGCAGTAGGCTGGAATGGCAATATTAATGAGCCCAGATATCCTCTTGCACTCCCATGTACAAAAATATGTGTCAAATACAGGGTGGGTTTCATTTAAATCAAATTGATCATGATTTAAATTTTTTAAAAACACAGCTGTTTTAAATCATTGATTTTTATCAATCCTGGTCAAATTGTGCATAAAGGCTGTAGTGGTCTTTGCACCCACAGAGTTTTTCTCTTCACTGTCACACAGAGTAAGAAAAATTCAAGTTCCAATGTTACGTTCATCTCTGCATAGATTCTTTCTGAACTTGAAATTTATACCAATCTTTCAGTTCCTATTTAGAATGACCCTGGACAAAGAACAACCCATTCTTACATTACTTTCTCAATGAGTAAAGAGGACATGGTAATGTCTGGGCCTCAAATCAGTCTCATCTACTAAGTATAGTAATGCTCATCCAAACAAGGTAAAATGTCAATAACAAACTGGCTACCTAACCGAGATGAACTGTGAGCAAGGCAATATAGGTGTAACATGATACACTAGTGATGCAATGTGCCACATCTCCAATCTTCAACAATAAAACTACGAGCAGCAAATACACATAAAATGTGGTGTGTTTAAACAAATCCAAAGTGAAACATTTTTATAAGATGTCAGCTTCAGTTACCAAGAATGAAATAAACTATCAGGTGCATAACAAGAGGCATACAATTTAATTTGGAGGACATGCCTTTTTTGAATTCTGTAAATAAACATCATTGCCTGTTTTAGTTCCTCCTTTATATTAACATCTGGTTTGACGCAACTGATCCCTACTCCTCCTTGATCTGCCTTCCATGAAGATTTGGCTCAATGGCTCAGAAATCTTCAACTGTGTAAATGTATCAGCATGCTTTCCCCTTACCTACAGGGATCATATTTCATTACAGTACGTTTCTGCTAGATGTTCCCTGTACCTCATGAACAGAGGTTTTGCAGTCTTCTCTACTTAAAACAGACTACACTTGGCACAATCAATCTTATGTATAACTCTCTTCAACCTCCACTCCCCACTGCCTCCCTACCGATCAGGCATTTTCATTTCTTATCCTATCAGTATAAGATACTAGCTAATGTCTTAGTGCTATTAGAGGCTCTACTATCAATATTGTCCTTGATTTTATGGTGGTCTGTTTTGGGTTTCCCACACAAAGCTGACAGTTATCAAAGAAATTTACAGACAGCTTTGTAACACAGTGCATATCCCTTACTGCTGGAACAAGTGTTTTGCAACTATTGATTGGCCTTCACCAATTTTACTACGCTTTGTTTGGACTCCTCCCTATATTTGTCTATTTCCCCCATGTTAGTTCTACAAATCATATAATCTGCAGCTTGTCTTTTAATCATCAAGAGGTGTGCAGCTCCAACCAGATATCAACAGAAAAAAGAACTGAAACAGGCAATGGCACTGATTAACTGTGTCTAAAAACAGTTGCTCCAAATTAAATTGTTACATCCCTTCTGTTAAAAGCCTGATGACTCATTCAAATGATTGGTGCTGATCTCTTACACAGAAATGCTTCACTTCGAATTTGTTTTAATCTATTATTTCTTTAATCTATTAAACTGTATGTGTTGAAAACTACAATTTGCTGACCATAATTTTAGTGCTGATTACAGGAGAATTCCTGTAAGACAAACATCTGTAAGGGGCACACCATATATTCCCTACCCATATTCACTACCCATATCAATATGTGGATCAGTATACAACATTAAGGCAGAGGTTCCTAGTCAGATGCATCTCTGCAACTGTTACTATACCAAGCTGTGGTGTAATAATCTATTCTAATGATTTAATTCATCTTGTTTTTTCTTAAATGAAAACAATATTGAAGTCTGCATTTTTATAAGGCACCAAGCTATCATATTATCATATATTTAACTGCAATTCAATTCTCTAAACACAGTTGCTGTAAACAACATCAACCACCGGAGGAAAGAAGTATCAGCAGACATGGAGGAATACCAAGATGTGTGGAAGTAAAAATTGTTTTGTGAAAAAAAAACTTGAAAGAGCAGAATCCCCAAAACCACCCAGCAAAAACTTAACATGCTCCCTGATAATGATAAGTGACTGTTGGGAGAAGAGAGCGGAAAACTAGAACACCTGTTCTGTTTATTTTCACTTGATTCTGTATTTGTGCACATGTAAAAATGCAAGCTTCTATTCAATCTCCAGAAAAATATATACACAAATGTAACTGATGTCTCATATTTTCACCAAACTCTGACATGCTTTTAATTGGAAACCTAATTTGCTTTTAGTTGAAAACTTAATTTCACGCCAGGCTATGAGTCAGGCGCATAAAGTAGCCATTTGCCTAGTCCCTGCGTCATGTTTGTGTTCATTCCAAACAGCTGAACATAACAGCCTTAAAAAAATCTTTCCACTAAAATGATAAATGAATTACAGTTGTATACATGCAGGTAGGCAATAACTAATTTGTATATGCAAACAATTTCTATGAATGGTTGTTGTGGGTTTTTCAGGTTCTTTGGCCATGTTCTGAAGGTTGTTCTCCCTGATGTTTCGCCAGTCTCTGTGACTGGCATTTTCAGAGGACTGGAGTAGCAACTCTGTCCATTCTCTGTTGCTGTTTGTTGGATAATTGAGTATTTATAGCTGTAGGAACAGCTTTTGTCTTTTTTCAAGAGATAGGGTGATTAGCATGTTTTTTGTTGTGATAAGGGGGGGGAGATTATCTGTCACTGTGATTGATGGGTGTTGTTAGCTGGTCTTTTTGTGGAAAAAAAACCAGCAACAGAGCATGGACAGAGTTCCTACTCCAGTCCTCTGAAGATGCCAGCCACAGAGACTGATGAAACGTCAGGAAGAACAACCTACAGAACACGGCCAAAGAACCCAAAAAACCCACAACAACCATCAGATCCTGGTTGTGAATGCCTTTGATAATACAATAATACAATTTCTATTTGCACTGTTGGCATGACAAATCCATAAAATAATAAGGCACTCTACAATACATGGCAGGTATATTTAAACATAATGGGGAATGCATGGAACACTTACACAAACGCGTCTTCAACCACAACCCACATCATGTTTTTTGGATATCACAATACAGTATCTCTACATTATGCTCATGTTTTCAAGGAATACGTTTTATCATACTGATACCCCAAATATACAAGACCACAAGTAAATATGTAGGTCAAAGTTCTTCAATTTCCAAGCCAAATCACAGTCTCACCCCTAAATCTTGACTGTCATGCCCATCCTGATTCTCCTGAGGCACACACTGTACAGGGAGTGCTACTGCCAATATGACCTACAGATGTCAAGGAGGGAGAAACTTCTCAATTCTCTGAATGGAAGGGCCAGGTAAGAAGCGTGCACTTGTAAGTGCGAATGCCTGAATCTATTTCATGCCCTTTTAGGGGGACAAGCAATTCAACCCTACATGACCTCCTGCTCCAGTAATGAGGGCACTGTTGTGAATTTGGCGCTATGTGTCATGGATATTTAGATGCCTTGGCTATAAAGCCATCAAAAAATTAGCTTTCTCCCAACCTTGGACCTAGAGGGCTGGCAATACTTATTTACCACTGCAGCTTCCAAGTTAAAAGGAAGGCATGATGCTTGTCATGTTCAACAGAAAACAGCATTGTGCCTGCTGTCATGAACAGAATAAAAAACTGCACTTACTAAAAACTCATTTTAAACTTTGATCTAAAAACAGAACCCAGTTGGTCTGCTTTATATGCCTTCCAGTTTGATGGGTAGAGAAACAATTATACAGCTAAAAATGCTATATAAAACAAAAACAAATCTTAAGTATTCCAGGAAGAAACCTCAGTACTATATGAACATTCCTTTTATGAATCTATAAAACTTAAGTAAGATATCATATACAATGATCTATGTCAGGTTATGGGTACAGTGGTGCCTCGCAAGACGAATTTAATTTGTTCTGCAGTCAATGCCGTCTTGCAAAAAATTTGTCTTGCGAAATGCATTTTCCCATAGGAATGCATTGAAATTAATGCATTTCTATGGGGGGAGGAAGTTAAAAAGTCACTTACCAGGTAGGGAGCTGGGGAAGCACCATCGGAGGGCTGGCGGGGGGGTCCCCCCGCTGTGGTCGCTGGCTTTGGGGGTCACCCGGGGCTTCCCTTGCACCATCCCAGGACTTGCGGGGCTCCCTCCATTCAGCGATGGGCGCTTGCAGAGGCTTGCCAAGCACCATTTTTGAGGTTCCCGCCCTTTCCCCCTGCCTTCGGCAAGCCTCAGAACATAAAAAGCAAAGAAAAAGAAAGCCTTTTTACGTTCCTAGGCTTGCTGAAGGCAGGGGGAAAGGGTAGGAACTTCAAAAATCGTGCTGGGCTAGCCTCTGCAAGCGCCCATCGCCACGTGGAGGAGTCCTTGGATGGTGCAGGGAAAGCCTCCGAAGGGCTCCGAAGCTGGCACACATGGTTGCACCATTGGAGCACTGGCGGAGGTCCCCTGCAACCGCACACACTGGCTTCAGAGCCCTTCAAAGGCTTTCCCTGCACCATACGAGGACTCCTCCACACGACGATGGGCGCTTGCAGAAGCTAGCCCAGCAAAATTTTTGAAGATCGCACTCTTTCCCCCTGCCTTCGGTAAGGCTCTGAACATAAAAAGGCTTTCCTTTTTTTTTTCCTTTTTCCATTCGGAGGCTTGCTGAAGGCAGGGGAAAGGGGTGGGATTTTCAAAAATGGTGCTCAGCTAGCCTCTGAATGGCAACAGCCGTCTTGCGAAGCAGGGCCATAGGAATAATCGTCTTAAGGCACCAAAAACCTCACTGAACCCATTCATCTAGCGATGAAGTCTAGAACAGCCATTCTCAACTTTTTTGTTGTTGGCCACAGCCATAAACACAGTATGAAAGAAATATAGGTCAAATCAGGATTGTATAACTCTGTAACAAACCTTATGAGGTAGTGTGTGAAGAATTGTTTCCAGTCTGTGTCCTCCTTCAAGAGTGCCATATCGCCCCTGTTGAGAATGGCTGGTCTAGAGTGTGATTTAATAGTCACCAACTATTCTTAGTAATAATTAAAATATAATAAATAAGATCTGGACATGTTTTAGTGAAAATAACTTCAAAATCATAAAAAAAGTTTTGAAAACAAGAAAGAGCCAGCCTAAATATTTTAGTCCTGGGCAGTTATCACTACCATCATTTAAAAGAATCTACCATTAAATATAAACTTACCTTTCCACAGGCTCTGCAATGATGCCGTCGTTTGGTAAATGTAAACCTGGCTTCACATTTCATGCAGTTTGGTGCTTGAGAATCTGGAACCCAAACTGGAGCCACTTCACCCAAAGTAGTAAATGGCTTTTTCGCTGGAACTCCAAACTGGCCAGCTCCAAGGTCGTTGTCTGGACTATCTGAAGCCGCTGCAAGGCACAAACTACCAGAAACCCCAGACTCATATTCGTCTGAGTGTTCACCAACAATATCCACAACAGAGGCATTCAGTGACGTTTCATCAGAAAACACATTTGCTCCCAGGTTTTCTGCTATTTTTGATTTTCCAGACATATCATTTTTATTTTTACTGCTACCTCCACAGTTTGGGGGAACCAAGTCATTTTGTAAATGGTCCAATAATGGCTTTGGAATTTGTAGTTTAAGATTTGTAGGCTGTTTGGGCCTGGCACCACCAAATGGAACACTGAGAGGTTGCAGATTCGCTGCAGGTTTTGGTGATGCTTGACCTGGTACAGATGGTACCTGACTGCAAAGATTATTTAAATATTTCTTTTTCGTTTGGTCACCAGTGCAATTCACAATGAGTCCACTTCTATCTGTGGCTTCATTTCCTCTTTGTTCATAAATGCTACTGTAGCATTCTGATTTGCTCTCCTCTATTTCCTTTTCCTCAGTCACAGAATCTTCCTTAGAGGGTAAAGTCTTTGGAATATGAGCAAAAATTGGATTCTGTATTCCATAGGAATCACAATTGGGCAGACCTCTCAATGCTGATGTACTCATGCCATCAGTGGTACTGGAATCTTCAAGCTCAACTATAGATTTCATCTTTGAGTCAAGACCTACTTCTGTAATGGCATCAGGGCTCTCACCAATACTGCTGTGTGCTTCCTCATGCTTTGTTGGATGCACCAATGCTTCATTCTCCTCATGTGTTTGCTTATTACTCATCTCATTTTGTTTAACCAGTTCGCCATTTATCATCTCCTGAGTTTCTGATAAACAAACTGCACTGTTGAGCAATTCAGTTGTACAAAGATCTTTTTCAGATTTGTCAGCTTGATTTTCAACATCACTAACCTCCTGAGAGTCCAAACGTCCACCAGAATGATCACAGTGATTGCTTCTTCCAAATGTGTTCATCTCACAATTTGCAGAGTACTCAGATATCCCTGATTGAAACTGCTGGTCTGTTTGTTCCACTTCTATGGACAAACCACCACTCTGTGAACAAGGTGAACAGTTTCTAATATCTAGTTCTGTTGTCTGAGCAACAGTATTAATAGCAAATCCCTCACCTGATGCACATTTTTCTTGCATTAGAATGCTGGGGTCAAGTGGCTTCTGCAAGGAAACTACATTCATCCCTGGTGATGCAGTTTCTGAGAACTCAGAGTCTTTATTTGTACTATCATTCTCCTTTAACAGAGAAGACAAATATCCACTGGATGGGCAATCAGAAGCAGCAGTAACACAATGGTTTAAAGACTCTTCTGCATCCAGTCTATCTGTTTCTGCTGCTTCTTTTTCAGTATCTGTATCTTTTTCTGTGGACCCATTTACAGTAACATCAAGGTGATCAGTATGTTGATTTTCATTATCCAGTGTAAAGCTAATGGAATCCATTATGGAGGGATTGCTGTGGCTTTTACAATCCAATAAATCACTTCGCAATGTTTTTTTGTCACAATTATGCATGACTGCTACTACTAAAACATTCTTTTCTCCTGGTAAACAATCTATATTGCCACATTTTCTTTCTTCTTCATCCACAACGCTACATTGAGCACTCTGATTACCATTTATGTTAATTAGCTGATCATCTGTTGTTGCCTGATCATCAATCCACATGTTTGGCCTTTCTTGGCTCACATTAATATTGTTTCCATTGGAACAACAGTCTCCTCCTCCTATAGATCCAGTGGTTAAATGAGAGAGGGAGAATGATTTTAATTTCTGTGGACATTCATTAGGAGCTGTGGATTCATTCACATTGGCCAGAGCTGGGTTAAAAGACAGGCGATGAGAAGGAGGATCTAGGATTTGATTCCACTTTGCATCCAACAATGTAGGTGAAACAGCCTCATCTAAAGCAAATAATGAAATAAATCAGTATCAAATAATTTCAGCACATCTAACTTGTTTGTTGAAAAAACTCAAGTTCATCAACATCTTGCAAGAGAAATATATGTCTAAAACCAGTAACAAAGCAATATTTAATTAAAAGTTATTTACCACCAGCAGAAATACATTATATTACCATATGTCTTTACACTGCCAACATTCACTTCTTATTTCAACATCACGGTGCCTTCCTAGACCAACACCAAAAATGGTATTTATTTATTTATTTGATTTGTACCCCGCCCATCTGGTCTATAGTATAGACTCTATACAACCACTCTAGGCAGCTGGTAGATTTTTATTCATAAGGGATTTTGAATGACAAATTAGCTTCTAATTTTTCATGGAAAACACTGCACATGCATATTTTCGAATACTATGAGCTTGGCAGGGTAAAGAATTGCTACAGAAGGTTCTAACTGTGGATTCATTTAATTCAAGAATAGGCAATTATGTAGTTTGCATCCTTTTTGGTCTGCCGTTTATTCCTCCCACCATAAATTTTATCACCAACATGCAAAGGCATAGCAGCATGAAGAACATTCTTTTCCCTTGAAAATGCTGTTTTGCTTCTAAATAAGTTGAGTGCTTGCTTACAAGTAGATGCACATTCAGAAATGGAAATCTACTTGTAAGCAAGTTGTGTGAGGACAGCACACTTATTTAAAGGAAACTCCTCTTCCCATTTTTAAAGGCAGAACAGTACTTCCTGCACATTCACATTGCTTGTTTTCAGTTTTAAAAAAATGTAATATTGTTACTAGTAGTGGTGACACGATAAAGAAATTATATAGAAAATAGATATAGAAAATAAATAGTCATTGCATCTTCCTGGTGAAAATGATCTGTAGAGGTAGTATTTCTCCAAGAAGGATACAAAATAAGCAAAATGAACAAAAATGTTGCAGAGACATTTCCTCTGGGAAACAGCCCATTGCAGATTTCCCTCTCCCTGTGCCAGGATGCTTAACTAGACTGGAAACCCTTCTCAACTACTATTATAACAAATTCCACAAACTATAACCACATATTCCTTGCATCATGCATTTTGGTCCCTGGTTAAGATCTAACAGTGTAAATAGGCCTCTGAAGTCTGGAACAAAAATACTTGTTCAAAATAAAGGTCTTTTTGACATAAACAATTTTAAAATCTTGACTAAAGTTTAGACACTCTGTGTGTGTACACACGGATGCACGCACGCACGCACATACACGTGCGCGCACACACACAAGCCAAAGTATATCTGACAGCATTGAAGTTATGCAATGCAATTTTGAGACGGTACATCTTCAGCAAGCTGAAGAGAATGTCAGTTAAGGATCGGAAGACATAGATTCAACATTCTTTTTAATCATGAAGCATGTTTGTGGCCTTGGGCAAATCATCATCTCTCACAACTTAATCAAACCTCAAACAGCTGTGATAAGCATAAAAATTATTGATTTATGTGCTGCGTTCCCAGAAAAAGACACAAGATAGTATACAAGAGACAAAATAATAAAATAGAAAAACCAACACAAATAATGAAAACCTTTAGAATAATAAAAGAGATTACAATATGACATTGTAAATGAGATTAATATAATTGCAAGGCACTCGACTAAACAACAACACTGAAGAAGCAAGTTATTTTATCTGTAATTCTCTCCATGTAAATCACTGCAACAGTATGGTGATTCTTATATATCTACTCTAGCTTGGGCATACTGCAGAAATATTGCAATAAATTGCTTTTTACATTTGATACAATGTCACATTTCTGAGACAAAGAACGAGAAAAAATGAAACTTCATCTATGAAGATCTTTTAAAATTGTGCCAGTTGTGTATATTTTCCAACTCCACTGAGATTTCCAATGTATTGTAGAATATGCCATATGTTCAAAAGAGCATATATGCTTCAGAGTCCTGATGGCCGAGAAACTACTACGGCCTGTAGAACAAAATTGTGCTAATGGTAGTTTTTCTCCCAAACAAACAAAGCAGGGGGAGGTGGGGTGCCTGAAGAACACTGTGGGCAAGAGAAGGCTTAACTCCATCTTCCTGCATGCTGCAGTCTCAATCCTGTTTCCTTTCTTGTTCAGTATTTTTTTTAAAAAAGACACATATAACCATCGCAATTACATTATAAGTCTAATTTGGTCCTCAGCCCTCCATCTTTAAAAGCATGTCAAACGTTGTACAAAACATCCCCCCTACCCACCTTTATGAATAGGAAGCTAATGTGGAGCTAGGCCTATGCTAGGCCATGATGCCTTTCCAGCTAATGTATCAATGCAATTCTAACAATATTCTACATTCAGTTTATGTGATCCCTGAAATTAAAAAAAAAACTGTTTTAATTGTTCCTACCTAATAAAAATATGTAAAATTCTCCAGCATCCTTTTCCAATTAAAAAATCCACCTAGAGGTCTGCCGTAGCGGGAAAACTGAAACAGAATAAGGGTCACAGACGCAGAGATTAGTTCAAACCTCTAATTCTGACAAATGTTACTCACCTTCGTTTTGTTCAAATTCATCTAAAACCTTATCAAGGTTATAAGCCTCTGCCTGGAAGTAGTTCTCCATTTGTCAGGAAACACTTCCTAGCTTCTTTTCTGAACCTGCCAAGTAAACAACCAAATATGAACTTACAGCAAGATTGCAAGAGCCTCACACAGTATTTAAAGAATTTACAAATCCTCAGATTAAGCCAGTTTGACAGTGGATCAAAGCCATTTGCATTGTGAAGTAAATTGCACTAAAGTAGGCCATTAATCAGTGGGGATTTGGTAAGTCCGCTCCTCCATAAATTCCATTAATTTAAATGGACCTACTGTAGTTGCAACTTACTATGCTAAAAAAAGTCATAGCTAGACCAGCCCCATTTCAACCAAAGGAATTTATGGAGGAGCTGACTTATCACAATTCCACTGGTTCAATGGGCCTACTCTAGTGCAACTTACTTTACAATGCAACAGGATTTCAACTATTTCCTGTAAAAAAAGAGAACATTTTCCAGCATATCAAAATAATGAAAAACAACTTAATAAATGGTTTGAAATGATTTAGCTACTTTTTATGACAATTTAAATCAGAAGTAAACATGAGGGCTTCGTATTCATAAATTACCACCCACACTCAGAACCCACCAGACCACTTACTGCATGGCATGCAGCACACATGGTTGGCATCATCTCCTTTGCCCCAATCATGGCAGTAGCCTGGCTGCCGCAGCCCCGCCTTCCTACTCACCTGGCCACTCCAGCAAGGGGGCAAGAGGATGAGTCTCCCTGCTCAGCCACAGTGTGACTGGGCAAGCAGGGAGGCAGGGCTGCGGCAGCTGGGCTACTGCCGCAACTGGAGAAAAGGGGATTAAGCCAACCACGCACACCACATGCTGCACAGTAGGCAGTCTGGCAGGTCCTGGGAGTGAGTGATGATCAAGCCGGCCACCTGTGCCAGCAGGCTTTGTATTTGTATATAAATATGAAGCCCCCATGACTAATCAGAAGGATTGCAGAATGGATTGTAGTAATGAACTGCTAGGGGATGTCTTTGCAGAAAGTAATGTTTTTTGACAAGATTCAAATATGAAATGATAAAGGATATTAAGGACAGTAAATTAAATATGATTGCTATCTATATTTGAATACTTTTGGTAAGAACATCATACTATAACTCGTAGGACAACTGGAAATACTCTAACTCCATTCAAAGGAAAGTATTAAAACACAAAATAAGGATAAATTAATAAATTTAGTGTGGACTCACAACGGAAATCATTAATAGCTTAGAAACAAAATATATACTATTAACTAACTAGTGAGACTTAATCTTGGTTAATTAAGATTCCTGATGAATTAAGTTGTTTCGCAGTTCCCTAAAAGCTATTAAAATCTGACATTAGATAAGGTACAACTGGAATTATCTTAAAGTATAATTCATTATCAGATATAATCATTTCACAACAAATCTTGCAAATCTGAACCATGCTTTCATTGGGACTTTTACTCAAATAGCTGGATGGTTCCTACTGTACTCAGAAGACACTCCCACAATTAAGAATTTGAAAGGAAACAAAACATTTCATTTTAAAAACTGGAGACAATGGGCTCTATCAGCAATTTTTAAAAGTGTATTTTAACCCTAACTTGGTAACATTAATAAGTTAACAGAGAAAATAATATTAACACTTTGCACAAAAAGTGGCAGTAGCTTAAATGTAATGTGGGTACAGCGGCTTTCCTAAGATCAAGTCCTTTCTAGTAATTACATGAGACTGGGATAAGTGGCAGTAATGTTTGGCTATTAAAGACTTATCTGCTTGTTCCAAGGCACCCAAAGCCTCTCCTAGCTTAAAAGGGAGCCTTAGGAAGTCTGAAGGGAGGGAGCATAGGAAGCTTTCAGTTAGATTAAATTAAATATTATTATCAAAAACTGATAATGTCATCCTGATTATGCAGTATAGTTATACCGATAGGACTTCAGCTAATGAATCTGCCTAATTTCACATCTCAAACTGCAAGAAAGTAACCTAAAGCAGTGCAAGGAACAAGCCAAATTTGGCTCTTAATGTTTATTTCACGTAGGTATTCAAGACATTAATATATGTATTCATTTTTTCTAGTGACTCATAGAAGATGGCAGACATTTTTAACTGTCCACTGCCCATTTGCAGCATCAATTGCTTGCAAACAGCTACACTTATAGTGCAATTCTATGCTTCTTTATACACAGGTACCATAATTTTCGATGAGGTTTGCTTCCTATGTATTTAAGATGGCACCTTTGTTTAATCAAGGAATCTTCTTTCCTCTGTTTTCTTTTAATATGTAGTCCTCAAAGTGAACCTTCTTAATGTATTCTTCACTACAAATGGAAGCCACAATTGTTAATCAGTAGAGCCAGCTGCCTCTTATAGAATTCAACTCATATTTCTCATAATCCTGCCTCTCTAACAGACAATGTAAAAATCCTTTAAGGACAAACAAACAAACAAATACATGAAAAGAAGAAAAGAAAAGAAAAAAAGCCCAAAATGCTATTGTAGTAAACTAATAAGGATGATTTACATTTTGGTTTGTACTAAAAGTCCACAAACTACAGATCTAAATGATATAATAAAGCTTCCTGGCATACATAACAATGACTGAAATAATGATCACATTCTTTAATCTGGGTTTTCCTCCGTATTTAAAGTTCTAGTGGATAACACTGCAAGTTTTTACAATGCAACTCCAGGCCACTGATTATGTAATTTCTGAACACTTTACCTGCAGCTGGAAAAGAAAAAAAAGATATGATAGAACAGAACATCTACCATACTAAAAATTATAGAGCTGGAGTCATGGAAACTCCACTAGGGCCAGAGTCCTATTACTTATGTAAACTGAGGTAAGTCAAACAGCGTAAACCTTTGCAATAAATTGCTGCTAGTTATAAAATCAACACTTGTATTTCTCACTGCGTAACAACCTTGTAACTTAGTGTATGATGAGAAACAATAAGCAGCAATTGCATACCTAGTGGCAATTTCCCATTGAAATTTGTATCATTTGACTTAGAGTGGTGTACAGAAGTAATTGCATTCAAGCTAGTATTACCCATCCTGTCCTTTTTGAGCTAAGTACAGAGCAATGCTATTTAAGGTCCTGTACTGCCATTGCTATATAGAATACACATAGATGTGGTAAATTGAAAAGCACAGATAAGAGTTCTACAAGTCATCTTATTCTACCCTAAATTACGATATTAATTCACCTAATCTGCTCCTAGTGCACATTACTGTACTGTAGTATAAACAGAAAAGGAGGATATCAACTTTATGGGACTCCTGTACATCATGCAGAACACTTAGAAGGGAGAAAGAAGGATGAAGGAGGAAGTTGGATCATAATTTAAATTTCTACTAAATTGAATTCAGTTAGCGGGCCAAACTTCAAGAATACTGGAGGTTTAACTCAGTGGTTCTTAACCTTTGTTACTCGGATGCTTTTGAACTGCAACTCCCAGAAACCCCAGTCAGGACAGCTGTTGGTGAAGGCTTCTGGGAGTTGCAGTCCAAAACTCCTGAGTAACCCAAGGTTAAGAACCAGTGGTTTAACTGATAAATCTCATACACTCTTCTATCCCACAGAATCATGCTTTATTGAAGAATCCACACAGAACTAAACCTGTAATGCAGACACCTGCATTCACAATCGGTCCTGGAAGTACGGATTAAATTATTCTAGCCTCTTAAGGGAAAATATATTCAACCTTTATGTTAGCAGGCAAGCTCTCTAAGCCAGCTGCTGAAATTTCTTTACTGTAAAATTTCCTTACTAGTTATTAAACCGAGTCCTTAATACACTTCCATTACCTTGGTTTTTCTAATTATCTTTTACTGGAACAGATTGCACATAGTAAAATAAATGTATGTGAACGTATCAATTAAAAGATTTGTAGGAGAGAATGTTGAGTGATGTAGCGAATGCAGAATGTAAAAAAATAATCCAGGTGGTTTCACAAAGGATTTTCAAATGCAAATGGCCTTAGATTTAAATTCTCAATCTTCTAGGGAAAAAACACCACTCTTGACAGTAAACTTACAAATGAAGAAGATACAGTGGTGCCTCGCACAGCGAGGTTAATCCGTTCCGGATTAACCCTCGCTGTGTGAAAGCATCGTTGAACGGGGCAGGAAAAGCCATTGGAACGCATTAAACATGGTTTAATGTGTTCCAATTGGGCCGAATACTCACCATTCAGCGATGCTTCCCTATGGCCGGCAGCCATTTTCGTGCCCTCCCCTCACTTAACAAGGGCGCGAAAACGCTGCGCGCGGCCATTGTGGGGCTTCCGGCGGCCATTTTGTAGCCGCGGAACAGCTGATCGGCGGGTCGCAAAGCGAAGGCCGGTAAGCGAACCGCTTACTGACCTTCACTCTGCAATTTTCACCCATTGGGGCCGTCGCTCTGCGATCGCATTAGCGATCGAAAAAACATCCCCGTAGAGCGAATTCATCGCTCTACGGGCCGCTCGTGTGCGAGGCACCACTGTACATACTTTTTCTTATATGAAAGTAAAATAATTCTTAATGGAAAACTTAATAATTGATCCTAAAGTGAAAAACAAATTTGCTGTAATCCACTTTAAAAAAAGCACCTTATTATACAGTGGTGCCTCGCTTAACGAGCGCACCGTATAACGACGAATTCGCATAGCGATCCGTTTTTTGGATTGCTAATGCAAAGGCAAACTGATGGTTCCAATGGGCGAAAATCACTTAGAGACGATCGGTAAGCATTTCACTTACCGATTTTCGCTTAGCGTTTTTTTTCAATCAGCTGTTTGGCAGTTCCAAAATGGCCGCCGGACACCGGAAATGGCCGCGCGCAGCGTTTTCGCGCCCTGCCCTCGCTTACCGAGGGCACAAAAATGGCGGCCGGATGGGGGAAACATCGCAGAACTGTGAGTTTTGTGCCCATTTGGAACGCATTAAACGAAGTTTAATGCGTTCCAATGGGCTTTTCCATTCCGTATAGCGATGTTTCCCCATAGCGAAGGTTAATCCAGAACGGATTAACCTCACTATGTGGGGCACCACTGTACTTTGATCTCACTTTCACTTCCAAACAGTTTTAATGACTGACAAAAAGATTATGGGAAACACTATACCTTCTCAAATTAGCAATCTGTGAGATCCAATACAGTGGTGCCTCGCTTAGCGATCGTTCCGTTGAGCGATGAAATCGCTTAGCGATGGACTTCTGGCCATCGCTGGAGCGATCGCTTAGTGATGGCCCCTATGGCTAAAATTCGCTTTGCCATGATCGTGGGGAAATGATCATGGCAAAGCGAACTTTTTTAAACAGCTGATCGGCGGTTCCAAAATGGCCGTCGTCTCTCCACAAAGTTAACCATCTTACTGTCTCCCCAGAGACTGAGGCCGTAAAGACGAAAGCGAGCAGGACCCACACGTTCCACATTATTCACGGCTGGTGGCTCTTTTGCAGGCGGGCACGCACAACAAAAAGACACGAGAGCGAGCGAGAGACACCATCAGGATTCAAAGAGAGGAAAGCAAAGCGGGAGAGAGGGCTTCCCACTGGCAGAGGACCCTCCGACGATCGCCCACCCCAGGCCAAAAGTGATGGGCTCGCAGGCTCCCCCTTGCCCTTTTTCTCCACTCCTCCGGGCTCTCCCAGGCACCGGCGCCGCAGCTCCTCGTTCTTCACTCGTTGGCACGCCTCGGGCGGAGTTGGCTGCTGCCGCTGCCACCACCTCGAGGGAGCAAAGGGGGAAGGGGGTGGCGGGTGGCGGCGGTTGCCCCCAGTCGCCCTCCACGCGTCCTTGTGCCTGCCCGTCCGGCTTGGCTTCCCTGCGCCTTGTGCCCTTGCCTGGCTGGGCTCCGAAACCCATCCCTCTGCGGCTCAGGAGCTGGCTCGTCCCCTCACGCAAGCCCACCGCCGCTGCCAAAGAAAAGTTTCGGCAGGCGAGAGGAAGGCACGGACTTTTCCATGAGAAAAAGAGGGCAGGAGGCACAGAAGAGCAGGAGGGAGAAAGGACTGCCACCAGAAATTGGACGGGGAAAAAAAAAGTCACCCAAACGCCTCGCTACACAGCCTCTCCCGGGCTGTCCCACACTCGGCGGCTCGCTTCACCTCCGCTTTCCTTCGGTGTCGTGCTCGTCCAGCCAGTGGGAAGCTGGGAGGGAAGGAGGGAGAGGGGGGCTTGCCGTGGCAGCCCGGGCCCTGCGCTTGGCCTCTTACAAAGCCAAACTAATCCCTTCCCCGCTGCTGCCACCACCACTCACGTTTCTCGCCTGCCCCCGCCCGCCTTCTCTTTTCCCTGCCTATGCTTCCGGGAGAGATGCAACTCCTTACAGTTTTCCTCCCGGAGGGTTTTTTGCTTTTGTTTTGAGGACATGCTGGCTAGGAGGGATGCACGACGACGACGTTTTGCCTCGCTTTAGAGGCACCCAAAATGGCCACCGCTATGGAGGAACTTCACATAAGGTCAGTTTTTAAGCCCATAGGAACATATTAAATGTGTTTTAATACGTTCCTATGGGCTTTTTAACATCACTTAGCAATTAAATCACTTAGCGATGTTTTTCCTGGAACGGATTAACGTCGCTAAGTGAGGCACCACTGTACTTCTCAAGAATTTTTTACAATATTCAACAGCACTAGGCCAAGTAAAACTAAGCTCCTTTCCTACACAGAGAACTAATCTTGCCAATTTGCTTTTGAGGAAAAGAAGAGCCAAATCTTGCTACAGATTTAGCAATTCCTTGGGATAGTTCTGCATAGCAGCTATGATCTGCTCACTCATCCACACAAAGCAAACACAGTTTTTTTAAAAAGCACTGCACAGTACAAAAGAAAAAAATGTCCATCTTTGGTAAAGATGCAATCCTATACATTTACAGTGCCTGGAATCATCTTCATGGAACTCCATGAGGCTTACACTTGAGTAGGCCTGTTGCACAGTAAGGAACACTCTCAAGGGTAAATCTTTAGGTTTATGAAAAAATATATCTAAAAATTACTCTCTGAATTAATAAATCTAAACTGCTCTCTTAATTTAAATTTCCAGGTATATTGTATCATTTTCCAATTTCTTACCTTTTTCTCCTATACATGCATTAAGAAATGAGTGAGCCAATGGTTATCCATAATATACACTGCACAGCCAGCCAGATGAGTTGAATCGGCATGCTCTGCTTGATCCTAAAAATAAAGCAAACACTGTACATTAGATTTTCTAGCACTATAATATGACTTGCAGTTTCAATAGTTTTGCTATCTAAGCAAAATTAACATTTTGCTTTTCTTAAAGCTGTTGGAAAAAACCTTGATATTGTCTTCCATTCTTCCCTGACAGTTTCAAAACTGAGATGGTGAGTATGAGTTGTAAAAATCTTTCAGGGTGCACACGTTTTATGAGCTCCTCTGTTACAGAAGGGAGGAACAGTAGTCCCCCCTATTGTGACATACCTCAAAAGACCACACCAACTGGACTCAGCAGGGCCTCCCAGCATGTAGGTATATCCGTTAGTTTCCTTTGCTGTATAATATGAGGTTGCATCCATGCTGACCATCTAAATCAAAACTGCTATATCAACAGTGGTTCTCCATCCATCACAACACAGAGCATGGAAGCTCAGCAGGGCTCTGCTTGGTCCAAAACCTCTAATTAGCCTAAATAACACTCCCAACTCATTCAGGTTTCTACTGCAGTAGAAAGGTATCCAAAAGTTTAACTGCAAAATCTCTCTTTCAGTCTAGCCATATAAAATCTAGAGGGCATTAGATAATAGGGAATCATAAAGGAATGTACCGAACATAAAGCATAGATTCATCCCAGTTTACTACTGCTATCTTGAATTGTATTCAGTCCTTTTGTAAGTCTTTATGTAATATGCCTTCAGCAATTTCATCAAAGGCAGAAAGTATCTATCCTTGGAGACTATGAAGTTATCACACAAGCCACCATAAAGAAAAAACAACATACAAAGAAGCAATGAAGAAAAAGATGCTATTTTCTGGTTAGAGTTACTGGTGACACCTGCTCTTATCTACACTAGAAACTGTACTCATTCATTTCCAAGTCTGTACAGGCTCCCATTTCTCCTGGAAAACATGATTTAAATGTACTGTTGAGATTCATGTCTCCTTGGGTGGTTTGAAATTAATACACCTGCACCAAGGAAAGAAAAAAATTCTGAGGCAAGAAAGCTTTGTTTCAAGTACAAGCATAAGAAAAATATGAAGGTGGTGCATATTTCAAATATGTTCCTAGAGGCCCTTCAGTTTCAAACATTTAAAAAATTATTCACTAAAGATACATGATGACAGTTTTTTCCTAGTTAGGTAAATATATTTTCTTCTTCTCTAACATGAAGTTCAAAATGAAAATGTTGTTCACATAATTAACCAAGCATGTTTTCCTTGGCCACTTGTATTCTGGAGAAAAGCACCTGCACAGATCCAATCTACAGTATGCTTCTAATCCAGAGAAAGGCCATATACCAGGTTTCTACAACACTTACTTCCTCTGTGACTACTACTTGTCCCTGATGATAAAAAACTGACAGAGAATGAGCAATTTTTTTCACTAGAATACAGTTCAGAGGCCTAATCCAGATCAGAAGATCATTCCAGACTGAGCTGTGTGTCTGCTTTTCCCAAAATAAAAATGGCACAGTTAAGCATACTTGTTTAATCATTTGCAGTTTGGCCCTCAATCAGGCTAGAACAGTGATGGCGAACCTATGGCACGTGTGCTGCCTGTTGCACACGGAGACATCTCCCTTGGCAAGCATAGCAGAGCACTACCCCACCGCTACCCCACCCCACCGCCAAATCTCAAACCATCGTCAGCCACCTCTTCTTGCTAATTTCCTTGGTTCCGGCACTCCTTCTTTAAGAGATCTCTTTAAGAGATCGGAGATAAGCCTGCTTGATTGGTTACAGCTGGCCCCCAGGAGTCAAATGACTGCTTCTGGCCCGCCCGAAGGTGACTTTGCAAGCAGGAGGGAAAGGCTCCAGTTTAAGGAGGGAAGGAACGTGCAACCTTTGAAAGGATGTTTAAATTTATGTATAAAATGGAGGGAGCGTGTGCGTGTGTGTGTACACTTTTATCTGGTATAAATGTTACCCTGAGTTTGTTTCATCAAAGCAGAGTGTATCTTTGGGAACTTGTTTTTTTTTCTTGTCAAAGGGTTCTCTGTTAATGCTGTGGAATTAAAAGTTTAGGAAAAATTGTGTGTGTGTGTCTGTGTGTGTGTGTGTGTGTGTGTCTCAAAACTAAAAAGTGGCTAAAAACCTAGAAAAAATTTGTGTGTCTGTGTGTCTCATAAAAAAAAGAAATGATTCAAGGAAGGAAAGATCCAGTTGAGGGAAGGAACGCGCAACTTCATCAAGCTTGTTTAAATGTATATACAAAATGGAGACTGTGTGTGTATGTGGGGGGAGTGTGTGTATGAGAGAGAGACTCAAAACTGTTAATCTCAACTGCATTTAGCTCTGCAGTTTGCTGAGAAGAGCAGAAATCTGAAGTGTGTAGCAACTGC